CTTCATGTCGAGTCTTTGAGAAAACATCTACTTTCTTTATTTGTTCGGTAGTTTGTGAGTTTGAAGTTATATATGCTTCTTCTCTTGCGTTGTCTTGAGAATATACGATACGACCATTTGCAAGGATTTGATATCCAGCAACTGCATAGAAAGCGTCATCGAAACCAATCCAAAATCCTGGTGGGTTTGTTTTATTGGAACCTGAACCAATTTCTTTATCTACAATAAATTGACCTTCCATTTTATACGTAATGAATGTATTGTAAAGGTCCAACATATTTTCACCAGGAGGTGAGAGATTGAATGTTACCCATGTGTTATCTTTAGCAGTTCCAGGTTGTGATGGAATCTTTGCGTCAGAATATTTTCTATTAGTGTCACCAATTTGAACTGCATTGTCTATGATATCGAAATATGAGCGAATCTGATGAATATGCTCTGCTGGAGTAAATTCGTTTAACTGTTCGTTCTGCATGTATTTACTTCGATAAAAATATCTATTTACTTCATTATTCTCACTCTTCTTCTTGGCATTCGTGGTGGAAGTTGTTTCTTGACATTTTCAATGAACTGTACATTCTCTTTTGTCTCAACTTCTTTCACTGGTGGGTCAGGGTTCTTTGACTCGGTTTGTTTTCAATGAAATTCACGAACTTTGCAATAAGCTCTTGGTTCGTTATTGAAAGTACATCTGGCTTCTTTTCTTCTGTTCTATTGACTTTTCAGTTTGAATAGAAGGTTTTATATGGGCTTCCACCCTTGCCATGCACCTTAATGTTGTCGCTTTCTGCATTCGCTAATGGAACCTTTCTTTTTCTTACGTATATTTTACCATCTTTACTCTGACTTACGTAATAGAAAGGATGTTGTATTCCTCTTGCGTCATTTAATATAATAGACTCTCGCTCTGATTTTGACAAGCTCATTTTACATCGGTTAAAGTTTTAATTTTGTTTTTTATCTGCAGTCAAATGACTCAGACAAGCCCTACGGACAAGACCCAAGGGGTCATAGATGTTGAAGCATTGAAGAAAGAAATTCGCGAGCAAATTTTATCCGAACTGAAGGAACAAAAACAAGAACAAAAGCCAGAGAGACCAAAGAGAAAACTTAGTGAAAAACAACTTGCTGCATTAGCTGCTGGAAGACAAAAGAACCCAAGACTACTGGCGAAAAAAGCTAGAGAAGAAGCTGAAGCAAAAGCTAAAGAAGCTGAAGCAAAAGAAAGAGTAAATGGTTTATTTTTATCCGAATTAAATGTATAGACAAATACCTTTATCTGTTGCGTTCAGTAGTGAAAACCCTGACGTCAAAATAAAGGGGAACAGAGTAACGTTTAAGTTTCCAACAGACTGGATTGTGAACATAAATGAAGAGAAGTACATTGGCATAACATCTATGTATATAACACGTGCTTTCAGAAAGGTTGACTTTATACTTCAAGTCGAGATAGAAAATGACGAACAGTCTTTAAGCGCCCAAAACATTCACATATACAAATACTTTAAAGACGATACAACATTGTTGCAATGTATGATTTCATTTAATGAATGTTCGAGAAAAAGTTTAACATTGAAGTACAAACTTTACAGCCTTTACGTGAGTTTCTTGCACAACTGAAAGAAGAAGGTAGTCAGCCACAACTTATAGACTTTCATTATGAATTTAATGAAAATGAAGATGGAACACATGACTGTCAGTTTGTTGTATTCTCACCATTCAATGAAGTCGCTAAAAAGAAAAAAATCCATTACGTATAAGATTTCAAATCTCTGAACCAATGATGATTTCAAGAATGTTTTCAATTATGATGCAATGCTTCCGAGGAAAAATGAATTTCAAAGATTGTAACACCGGCATTTGGGATAGAAAGCAAGCTATATTATATTCAAACTTAAGTAAGGGAGTTGAAAATGAGTTCATTGGTCATACAAGAACTTCACCACTTCCTAACCCTAAATACTATAAATTAACTGGCTTCAATCGTGAGTTTTGGATAGACATGTTCTCCACTCATGACCATAACTGCCCAGTGTTCTTACCTCCAGACCATAAGGACTGTCTCTACATTGAAGCACAACTCTTAAATTCTACAATAGCTGTATTGTAAATGACCACATGGGCTTTGCCCATGCCGCTAGCGGCTTATTTTTATCACGAATGGTCTCACTGCTGACAAAAATAAATGACCTCAGAACTTCAACTTACGAATAAAGCTTGTTTTAGTCGTTATTGAGAAGTTAAACTTTTCAGCAAAGCAAGGACTAGAAGACTTACATAAGTCAAATCCAATCTCTTGACCATCATGAAGTGCTTTGTAAAGTTTCATTAAACTGAACTCAGAGTCTTTGTCAAATTTTCCTTGCGGAATCATTAAACCTTTATCTTCATCATAGAAACACTGAACAGAGTCAGGAAACATTTCATTAGCGGTTAAAGCAATAACATCTTGCTTCACGCCTTTCATTCTGCAGTGAAATGCAACTTCATTTAAATCATTCGTGAGTAAGTCTATGTAAGTCTTCTTTCCACAAAATATTGACTTGTATGCTAAACTTTGTTTTCCAGGTGTTATTTCTGCGAAGTCACTATGAAACTGACCAAGGTTTTTACCAATGAGAACTCTTCCATAACGTTTCTCAAACTCTTCAGCTAAACGAGGGATATCTTCATTGTAGAGATGCATACTGTCGGTGTCGCTATAAAAGATGTCCATTCCTAAGTCCTCAGCAGTACAGAATACTTCACACATTATTCTCTTCGACATAGACAGAATGTTAACACCAAGTGGGCAAAAGTTAAAGTGTCTGCAAATGCTTTTCGTTAGCTTGAAAATAGTTTTATCTGAACCATCCAAACCTTCGAACTTCACTATATGGTTGTAGTTTCTGATGGCATATCTTATAGCATCTTTGTCATTTACTATGGTTATTTTTGACTCAATAGGAGATAGAATAGTTTTACCATAAATACTGTTCAGAATGAGCTTTATATTTTCTTGCAAAGGATTTCCTTCTTTCTTATACTTTAACCTTAACTCAAACAACTTCTTTACTTCATCTCTTATTCTAATATCTCTGTTTCCATCGTAATAATATCCTTGCAACACTTCACATTTGACACCTTGATATTTTATGAGGTCTTGTAATGTTATATGGTCAACATACATTAAACAGCAAGTGTTTGAACTTCTGGGAACGTTAAGTTCTGGATTTAGTTCAGGGTCACAAACTATTAAAGGAAAGTGTCTATGTATTCCAATCTCTGTTATCTTAATGAGAACAAAGAAGCCAGACATAAACTTTTCACCAATGGGTTCCTTTTGGTCGTCATCGAATAAATGTCTCATGAGATACTCTGTGCTTAACATTTCTTTCTTCATAACCTTTGGAATTCCTTCTAAAGTATAAAGTCTTGCTATAGCTGATGGATATAATGAAACAGCATCGAAGTCAGCAATGAGTTTCTTTTCGCTCTTTTGTTTAATGTTATCTGACAACATACATCTTCCACCTTGAATACAGCGTGAAATAAATTCTCTTGGTTTATTTGAGAGGTCATATAAATTTCCATTCGGGAAGTACACTCTGTTCTCAAATAATTTGTTAGCAATAGAACAAATACTAACGTAGTCATATACGTTTAAATCAAACTCTTTCAATATGTCATTTCTGAACTTTACAAATCCTTCTCTTAAAATTCTTACATCTTGTTTGCAATAAAATGTACTATACTTTTCTAAGTCGAAATGGTTTTCATCTATTCTGCAACCTTTGATGGAATCTATGTTCTTCATGAACGTATCTGCATCCTGGATAAACTTACATGCTTCAGAAATGACACCAGTTCTGTTGTCATTTGCTAACAAAACACTGCTGTAGTAGTTGTATGGAAATACTTCTTTCGGTCCTGTTTGTAAGTTAAACATAGCAGGAAATAGTTTAAGCTTCTTATTTATAACACTGTAAGAGTCTTTTATAATAATTGCCCTTCCTTTATATAAGCCAGTTATTTGCATTGTTCGTGAACCTTTAATGATGGGAGTTCCTTTCACTTCTGTCATGTGTCTTAAGATGAAGTTTATATCATAACTGAGGTTATGGAAATATATTAAACTCTTGTCAGGAAGTCGTTCCAAAAATTCTGTTGCACAGTTCTGACCCAAATGCTTTCACTCACTGAACCATCTTCACTGTCATAACAGATGTTAAAAAGCTTTATGAAAGCCGTCTGTGCTACACTCAAAGTCAGCAAAGAAAACGTGCTCAGGAATGAACTTGCACTTATTTTTATTTACTTCTTTTGACTCGGCTTTCTTCTTCAGTTGTACACAATACTTTGGAGCATATGTCAAATCTTTAAATGGTGCAAGGTTCTGTTTATATAAGTCAGTCGTATATGTGAAAAGTTCTCCATAAGAAATAGGTTCGAAATATTTGCACTCCCACAATGTTTTCATAACATCCCATAGTGGTGTTGTTCTATCATAACGAACTACATATTTATCTTCTCTCTTTGTATAAATCTTCATTTGTTTCTCAATGTTCATTCCACCACACTCCTTCAAGATTTCTATATAGTTGCGAATGAAATATGTTGTCATTGGTAATCTTTCGTTTAGCATGTAGTGGTCTTCAACAAGAAGTAAGTCAATAGTTCGAACAGTTTTACATTCTTTTGGTATGTATCTCTTTATTTCATTATGTCTTGAGTCATTGAAATAACCAATGGTAACATTGAATGCTATACCTGTTGAATCGGAAATTTCTTGTACTTTACTTTGAGGAAAGTCTCTAACACGAATGACTTCTCTCATGTGGTCAATAGTTTCTTCATTTACTCCAGCCTGAATGCAAGCATAAACGAAACAATTGTCCTCTGTCATAAGTGTTGCAGTTCTTTTGTTCAGTTCATTGAAGATTTGGTAGCGTTCAAGATTTATAGGTAATGTGCAAAGATACTTCCAGAACTGACCGCTTCTCTTCTTATAAAACTTCTTTTCACCATTATCTTTCCAAAAGCTTTCTATAAGTGCTGGGTTTCCTGTTTGCTTAAGAGCTTCCAAAATGGCTTTCTGGTCATTTGTCAGTGTGCTTTCATCTCTATATGGTCTCTTTTTTGGTTTGCCTTTCTTTACATCTGACATCGTTAAGCCTTCATATTCTGTTAAATCATACATCTTTATTTCAGTAAGATTCTTTATGTTTGTCAAGAAGAAGTCATAGTGCATTTCAACAATACCTGCAGCATTTGCTTCTATCTCTGATATAAAGTTCTCCTTCAAGAGCTGATGTAGTAGTGTTCCAATATTATTGAGGTTTAACGTAGAACATTCATACTTTCCACCAAGTTTATAACATACCATCCATCTCTGTTGGGAGTTTATTTTAATCTTCTCTAAGAGTCTCATGAAAACCTTACCGAAATGTTTGTGTAAGTAGTCTCTGTTTGGTTCATCTAAAGCTTCGATGTTAAAGTCAATGAGTCTATTGCCTGACTTCACATTTCTCTTCCTATTCTCTTCATCTTTCTTTAACCATCTCTCACCTTCTTTTGGTTTGTCGTCAATGGAACGAATGACATCGTTAGCTTTGCGAACTTGTTCTATAGCGCTCTTAAACATCTCTCTTCTCTGTTGTTTCAGTGTGTCGTCTCTCTTTCGTGTTTCACCAACGTTTGCATTTGTTATGTCAAACATCTCTTGACGAACATCATGCGAAAGAGCTTTACGAGTATGACCAACGTTTGCATTTGTTATGTCAAACATCTCTTGACGAACATCATGCGAAAGAGCTTTACGAGTATGACCAACGTTTGCATTTGTTATGTCAAACATTTCTCTTCTTACTTCATGAGGTACTGAACGTCTATGATATAAGTCAATAGCAACGTCATTTAAAGGAAATGCTATTGCATGGACTTCGTCCTCGCCGCGTTGCGGCTTTATGAACTCATGAATTCTATCATAACTTATTGCACCATTATAGTCTTTAATGAAGTCAGCGAGTGCTTTTTTGTTTGTTGCGTAATGCTTTGCAACATCTATGTTAGCTTCTGTAAGAAGTTGTTTTATTTCCGAGTGTTCTAACTTAGACAACTTCCGATACATCTTTAGTAGGAAATAAAAAAAATATTTTTGAAAAAATTAGATTAGATTTTTTTTAAGTTATTTTTCAAAATAATTTAATATTTTTATTATAATGAAACACATGCAAGATTGCAAGTTCTTTTCATACAATGCTCTCGCTAATGCCATCAAGAATGAGTTCAATGGTGCTTCAAACGTTAATGTTATCTTTAACAAGAAGTTTGTGAAAGAATCTAAGTTTGGTCAGTATGTCAGACCATTAGCTATTGTCATTGACCGCAAACGTTATACTTCACAAGAGTTAGCAGTAGTTTTGAAACAAAAGAGTTTCTTCGTGAATGTCAAAGATACTCATTATACTGTCATAAAGAACTCTAACATTGACTTCTTCAGTATTGCTATGAATCTTTCCGAACAGAAAGAATATAAGAAGGGTGAAACAAATGTGAAATATTATCCTTCATCTCTGAAGACAATAACGAACAAAGATGTTATACAGAAATTCTTACCAAAGGTTGAAGAAGCTTCTATTGACATTGACGAAGGAAGTGAAATGGTTGAAGAAATAGACCCTGAAGCTATTTAAGCAAAAATATATTTTTGGTTAGTATTCATATGGATATTTTACAACAATTCCCCAATGTATAAACTTTTCATACGCTTTTTCATAAGCTTTATATACCTTCAGAAATTTTGCATAATCTTTAGAAGCATTTAGATATTGTTTAAATGCTTTGTATGTCTTCAGAAATTTTGCATAATCTTTTACATGTTGTTCGTTCTCTTCTTCTGTCATGAGTTCCGAATATTCTAAATTCATGTTCTTTCATATGAGATAAAATTTTATAAAAAAAAATAAAATTAGCTTAGATTTTCATTCTTCCTCTTTGAAGTTATCGAAATACTCTGTTATTTTTTCCTTTAACAATGTTAAGTCTTCTTTAAATGTAAGTATTGTGCAACCTTTGATGTCATAGTGTGTTTGAGGAAGAGTATTTTTGACAATTTCCTTTATTTGCTCATTCGGTGTCATTGAAATCGGTAAGTTTTCACGATAGAACCAGTTTCTGTCAGATTTGTAAATCTTAGCAAGGTCATAAAAGCTTTTGTTGTTTCTTCTGACTAAATGCAACATAACCATATCTCTGTCTTCTTCTTTCTCCAACTCTTCAGTATATATCATATACTTATAACTCTTTTCCTTTCCTTTTGGTACTGAACGCGGTATTCTTTTCTGTATGCTTTTGTCTTTGGATTCAATGACTTCATCTTTTGCTTGAAGTTTCTTTTCCATCTGTTCGCGTTCTTGTCTGTGAATTTCGTCAAGAAGTTTACAAACATACCAAGCATAACGAGGTGAAGCCCACATTGCTACAGCATTTACGAGAAGTCTATGAACATAATATCCTCTCAAACCGTTTGGCAATTTTTCACGATTTTCATAGAGTTTTGGCGACTGGGGTTTTTTACCTACTCGCTGTTCTTCACTGTTTTCAGAAAAAAGTATGTCTCGCTGTGCTTCATTTAATAGTTCAATAGTGCTTTGGTTCCTAAACCAGTCTTTAGGAAGTTTAGTATCTGGAGCATAACATGCTGTCAAAATACTTTGCATTTGGTACATGTCATCTTTGACTGAACGAATGAGACGTAACTGTTTGTTATATTGTATGTACTCGTATTCTTCATTTATAGCTTCATGAACGATAGCAGTTGTTGTGTTCTCTAATGTTGACATTACTGTCTTTACATACAAAATAAAAAAATAAATAAAAATAAAATTAGCGTTATTTTTTCTGAGATAAACACTATTTCTTCACAACATTAAATTTTATCCTGTATGAAATGACTTTAAAAAGATTATTGACTGACTTCGAATACTATCTCATTGACGCACTGACAGACCCTCAAAACTGTGTTGAAAGTTCTTTAAGCTTTAAGATTGAAGGTACGACGCATTTTGTCTTCACTTACGTATTGAAAGAATATGACCGTTATCATAACGAAGTGAATCAAACACTAATAAAATTTGTAGATAAAAAATTGGTTAACAATGAATATTTTAAACGTGAAGACCCAAACACTGCTGGAGATGATGAAGAATACAGACAAGTTATTGAAAAAAATAACGCAAGATTAGATGCAATAGAAAAGAAGTTTAATGAATGTCTTACAAACACGTATGAATATCTTATGCGGTGGGAAGCCAGATGGAAATAAATTTACGTCAAATATGCAATTTATAAAATCTTATGTCGACAGGCTACGTAGCACAGTGGTCTAAGGTGGTGTTATGGGGGGTTAGTGTCTGTGGTTCGAACCGCGGCAGCGCCGTATTTTCTTATTTTCTTTGTTTGTCTTGTTTGTCGTGAATAAAAAGTGTCATAAAAGTGCTCTATTTTCCACGGGAATAAATAAAAAATTTACTTTATTTCTTCTTTATTTCTTTGTTCCCGTGGAAGAAGGGTTTTGCTGTTTTTTCTGTTTTTTCTCAGCCGAAATCAATGATTTTTTCATTTTTGGAATCCTTAGCGAATGAGGAATCTTTTCTCTCGTGGAAGCTTTGACCAAAAATATAATTGAGGTGAAGAGGTGAGATCTCACCTGTTTTTTCACCTCTTTTTTCACAAGCGTTTTACATGAATTGTACGATGTATATTTGAAATCCTAAACAATTTCGTAGCTTCTATTTCTTCTGTCAGTATGTCAAAAGTTTTAACAATACCGAAGGTTTCTTTATACTTCTTCTTGACGTCAGACAGAAGGAAATCTTCTGCTGTTGGATAGTTTTTGTTCAGAAATGCTAACATGTCCATTTTATCTTCTGCTGGCTTTTCTGCTTCTTTCTTTAAGTCTGCATAGTCGTTTCGCATACGTTCTATCTCTTTGACTGAGTAGTTATATTTCCTAATTGCTGCTTTACATTTTGAACATTGCGGGTTCATTTTTGCGTTATACATTGAAATAAAACCAGCTAAAACAACTAAAGCGTCAATTGCTCTCTTCATCTCAAACATAGCGGGTCTTATTTGTTTGTTCCATACTTTGCCTCTTCTATCTTTATCTCTTATTTCCCAAACACATTTTGCAACTAATGAAACAAAGTTATCGTAAGTCTTAAACTCCTCAGATTTATATATGTCAGAAATGTTTTTATAAACCATGTCGCAATCTTTGTCCATAACCTTATGGTTGAATGAAAACCAAGGAATTCATAATTTACTTTACGTATGAACTTCTTTATTTCTACTGAGTCAGTTGGTTTCACTTCAATTTCGTCGAATTCAGGAATAGTGAGTTTTTGTTGTTGGATTTCAGGTAGTTTAGGCAAATGGTCAATAATGTCCTGCATTTCATAAAGATATTCTTCATTTTCTTCATCTTTCGCACTACAGTCTAAATTACTTGTTAAAAGTTCTTGCTTTATCTTCTGGATTTTTGTTTCGAAAGTAAATGAAGAAGGAATGAAGTTTTTCATCTCTACTAACATTGACGTAGGATTCATGACTAACGAGTTTGGTGCTGTTGTTGTTTGAATTGTTGTTGTGCCGATTGTTGAAATCATATCTTTTATACAAAATAAAAAAATAAATAAAAATAAAACTAACTTTATTTTTCTATCTTAAGGAAATTCATGAAAATTCACGGGGGTGAAAAAACAGGTGAGAAAACGGGTGAGATCTCACCTCTTCACCTAAAATATATTTTGTCTGATTTACATCTAATGAAAAAGTTTAGAAGAATTTTCTTATTCTTTCTGGCATATTTTTGTCTTTCCAGTACTCCCGCTCTAATGGTCCCAGATGTGTTGGCTTCGACTCTCTCAAGTTCTTAGATGGTATAACATCTTCAACGCCTCCTTCATATCTTACTTTATAAGTGTCATCGTTTGTGTTATAGCCAAGTATTTCAATAACCACTCCTCGCTTTGCTTCGTCAATGGTTTCAGCAAGTTTGCCATTACTACTTTCGACTAATTTATGACGAGGGTAAAACGCTATGGAGTCGTCAGCAGCTTTTATAAGATATCCATTACCTTGCGTAGAGTCTACGATATAATAATTTCGACTTAACATTAAACGTTTCTTTGTCAACGGTTTGTCGTCAAGAACTACACGAACTTTTGTACCAGGAATGAGGGTAAATTGTGTTGAATTTCTGATATTTTGTGTTTGGCTTCGTTTCTTTTGTATATACTTTTCTTCTTGTTGTTGTGTCATTGAATTTGGTGTATGGCCTGTTGTAGAATGTGTTGAGGAATTATATACTTCGAGAAAATGTTTCATTGTTTTTCGGTAAAGTCTCGCTCTTGGTTTAAATCTCTGAGCGTCCTTATGAAGCGGTTTATGATGCCGAGTATGTTATGGTTATGGTCTTCAGTAGTGTAGTGAGTTATGTTATGCTTAATGAGAAAATCTGTGATTTCATTGCTGAGGTATGCACTGTCTTGGTCTGATGTTAAAGTACTTGGGCTATGTTCTGCCACGAACGTCTGCAAAACTCTTAAAACTTCACGAGTTCCTTTATTTTTCATTGGATATGCATATGCTTTACGAGTGTTAACATTTATGAAGATGAGGAATGGTTTATGTCCTCCTTTTCTGCTTTGAATGAGAGTGTCAAATTGGTATGCGTCAGGAGTGTTGGAGTAAATTGGTAAAAAGTAGTCGTAAGGGTTTATTTTTGTTTGATGTACAACATTTTTGTCAAAGAACTTTTTAACTTCAGCTCTGTTAGTAAATCCCCAACTCTTTGCAGCTTCATTGAACTTCTTAAATGACCTCCATGGATGTTGTTCGAATACTTCTTTCAAGCTCATTTATGTAAAGTTAAAGATTTTATTCAAGACGGTAAGCCCGCAAAGCAGGCTCAAGCGCGTTCATTGAACGCGGTACCATGCGAATATAGTCACAAATGGTGGCATATAATCTGCACCCGAGCCTGTTGGATTTGTTGTGAAAGTATGTGAATGATTTCCTCCTGGTTCAGTTGGTCGAAAAGTCTTTTTTTGCTGCATTGTTATAAGATGGAGATAAACGTCATTGCCAGCTTCATACTCTGAGTTGTATAATGGGTGGTCTCTTAATGAGTGGCTATGGTCGCCAGAAAAGTTTGTAGTTCCTGTATGAGTGTGCGGTGGAAGGTTTGCTTCAGTAATTTTCTTCGAACCTCCTGTTTGCTTTGAAGAGTTAGCACAGTATAAGAATTTGTCTACAATCTGCTGCCATGTACCAAAACCTAAAACTGTTGCTGGATTTGTTGAGTTCATTGAAGTATAAATAGAGCCTATAGGATATAATGTTTGAAGAATCTGAGTCTTTAATGTTTGAAGCTCTGTTTTGTCTGCTTTCTTGTCATATAAATCTTGAGCAGTGAATTTAATATTATGTTCATCCTTCATGACATAAACATCTTTACATCTAATGTTTCTCATCGTCGTTATGTCGTCATCCGATGTTAAACCTTGTGGAAAGTTAGGAGGTTTACAATATAATGCATCCCCACCAGTTCCTTCAACCGTTCCTTCAATACTTTCTATAGCAACAGTTGTGAAGAAATCATGTGTATGGTTCTTGTCTGCTTTTTTATCTAACATTGCTGGTAGTTCATATGTTTCAAAGTTTCTGACATGACCTTTGATATTTATACATTTGTTATTTAAGGAGTTTAGTGTATCTTTTACGCTTGTACTTGGATTCTCTAAAGGTGCACTTGAACCAAGGGTATAGTTCAATATTATGTCGTCTGCTCTAACAGTAGTGAAGGATTTATGTGTATGGTTCTTGTCAGCTTTACTGTCTAATGTAGCTTGAAGTTCATTTATATCGGAGATATTGTGTTTATGAGATTTCAAAACTTTGTTCATTGCTTCGAGTTCAACTTTGTCAGCTTTACTTTTAATAGCATCTTCAAACGTTATTTTTGACTTAACTCTCAAAGTAAATCTTGGTTCAACTAATACACCGTTAACATTGAAAGTAGAGGCATAAATTTCACCGGTATAACCAAATGCTTCTGGTGCTTTAGCTACATCATACTGTACAGTACAGCTTATGTCATAACCTTTAGCACGAATGTATTTATATCTTCTTTCATTAACATTTTTTGTCTTCGCTTCATCACTTCGTGTTAAATATCCATGGTAGTCCGTTATAATCTGTTCGTCTGAAGTTATATAATGAACATGGTTCTTGTCCGCTTTACTATTTAATGTAGCTTGAAGTTCATTTATATCGGAGATGTTGTGTTTATGAGATTTCAAAACTTTGTTCATTGCGTCAAGTTCATTTTTATCTGCTTTACTATTTAATGTAGCTTGAAGTTCATTTATATCGGAGATATTGTGTTTATGTTCTTTATCTGCTTTTTCGGCTAATTTCTCTTCTATCTCATTTATTTCAAGTTCATGCCTACCACCACCTCCCGAAGAAGTATTTTTCTTCAGCTCTTGAAGAACGTCCACTTCGCCATCTTTGGTGTCAATAATGAGACTTTGAGTTAAAACCTTTCCTGTCTTAATGGATGTTTGTAAAACTTCTTCTTCACCGTGTTCGGGGTCATGGTCGTCATCATATCTTGTGAAATCAGAGATGTTGTCATACATTAAGCATATCTGTCTCAAAAGTTCTGCTATTTGAAACTGGAACGAAAGATATACAGAACTTTCATCATCTCCTAAAGTCAAGTCTGCTTTCTTAAGTATTTCTTGAATGTATGCAATGAGAACAGAGTACCTTGGAAAATATTCGAACAATATTTCATTAGCTGTTGGTTTTGGTGGTTCTTCTGGAGTTTCTGCATCTCTTGACTTCAATGCTCTTGCTCTCAAAGACCTAAATGTTAGAGCACCGGGTTTTACAAAGGACTTTATAAATGCTTTAATAGTTCCTGGTAAGTTATTGTTAGCATTAAGTAAGTTCCTTATGCTTCCATCATGTACGTCCATAGCACTATGTAAAAAATCTATACTTTTCTTGTAGTCAGCAATAGACTGACTGTGATTTTTTAAAGATTTGTCAATACCTTTAAGCCAATCTTCATGCATGTCTGATACTGAGCCAAGAATATCATTTGCTTCCTTTAGTGTATTTTGTGCTTCTCGTAAAGTATCCAATCCAGTACGTGCATTGTTTGCTATACGTCTTACAGTATCTATTTGACTCCTTGTTTCTTGCATCCAACCAGATAAAGTTTTAATAGTATCCGAACCATTTGAAATGAAGTTCAAAGCATTTTTAACGTCATCTAAAGCTTCTTCACCAAGTACTGCCCATATCTTTCCGATTTGGTATTGAAGAACTCCATATGAAGTAGCTGTTAAACCAGTATTTATAAGGTCCCATATCCATGATTTAGCAGTTTTTCCATCCTTTCCATCCTTTCCATCCAAACCGTTTTCGCCTTGAGGTCCTTGTATTCCTTGTATTCCTTGTATTCCTTGTATTCCTTGTGGTCCGGTGTCACCCTTCTCTCCTTTCAGTTCATCTTTATGTTCGTTATAATATTCTAATGTCATAAGGTGTACATCATTACTGCTACCAGCAACGCCGAGAATTTGTTTCTCATTCATGACTAAATTCTTTAGGCATTTAATGTTGTCGTCAAATCGAAAGCTCTTTAACAATTCAATGAGAACATTTAATACTTTCACTAATGAGGCATCTACTGTAGAATTTATATATTGCACCGTTCCATCATTTATGATGGGAACCTTGCTTGTTGTAATGAATGGGTCATAAGTGTTAAAAGTATCGAAATCAATGACTTTTTTAGTTTTTCCATCGTCAATGACTAAATCATTGCCTTCAATGGTTAATGTTGAGTTTTCATTTACTAGTTCATGTGCTCTTCTTGCTTCATTTGTTTCATACGCATATGCAGCAATAGTCATATTTTAATGAGAATAAAATGTTGTTCTATTTGCAAAGTACAGACCCAAACGAATACGGGACAGTAAAGCTACAAACAAACTTAGGTCTTCAGAATGAAGCGCTTGCTTTCAGAGTTGTTGACTTTAATACTATCGCAACTTTTGTCATAACAGATGAAACAGATTTCATAGAGATTGAAATAGATGACAAAAGAAGTTTTATAACATTTCCTAACAGAGCAGAGTATAGAATAGATAAAATTGCTGGAGTCATAGATACTCTCATAAATGAAGAAACTATTGACAACATAGATGTCGAACTCTCTTCTGAGGGAACATTGAAGTTCAGTAGCAAGAAAGAGTTCAAGATAACACGAATGAGTCATAGAGTTCAACTTCTTTTAGGAGCATACCATATGACATTTCCTTTGAAAAGTGTTGACAAAACGATTGAGATGAAATCTGTTCCATATGTATGTTATGGTAATTGTTTATACATTGAGTCTAAAATAGCTAATGTCACAGGCATTTCAGGAGTTAATAGTAAAGGTTCAGTAGAATATAAATCCTTCTGTTATGCAGTCAATTCAATGTTCATTCCAAACGTTCCTGTCATAGCAACTCATTTAGGTAAATGGGTTCGCATTAGTCCTCATAATTTGAAAGACATGCAATTCAGACTTGTTGACTTTCAAGGAGAGCCTGTAGAACTGAAGGCACCAGTGCGAATGACTGTTGAAGTTGACTTTTTAGAAAATATTAAATGCAACAGCTTACAAGAGAACTCAGAGCTAAAAATATAAAGTATGAATGTTATGTATTAGGTCATGAACTTTGGTTGTTGCTGTTTGATGAAACAAATGAGTTAGTTATGTCAGTCAAGAGAACAGAAAAATATTGTGTTAGTGAAAACTGCACCAAGTCAATAAGATTAGGTTTGCATTATGAAGATGAGTTCGATACTGTTGAAGAAGTTTTGGATAGATATTACAAATTGCTTTAATTTACTAAAACATATTTCAAACAAAGCTTATAATCAGTAGATAGTTTTGTATACTCGTTCGAATATTTATACTTAAACTCAACTCCTGGAGTACCTGGTGTTTCAATGATGCGGATGTTACCTATTTTCATGAATATTGGAGTTTGACCACAGCATTCGATTTCAGGGTCGAGATAGTCAATGACACTTTGTTTCCCTGTTATTCGTGAGATAACATTTTCAAGGTCCTCCTTTGTTAGAATTATTTGGTTCTTACTTATAAGATTTGTCAAAAGCTTCTTATCGTCTTTGAGTAAAATTGTTTGGTATAACTGAAGAAGGTAATGGTCTACGTTATCTGAAGGATTTGTTTGAACATTTGTGTAAGGGTTGTCGTTGGCTTCTCTTGAAAGAATTTGGTCCAGTGGTGGATACTCTAACTTAACATCTGATGTAGCGTTAGCGTTTGAAGCTGTGTTTAAATTCACCGACTTAAGATCTGGTTCTGGTTCTTTCAAACACTCTGAACTATAGTTCTTTATGACAATATTGTTTGTCGTTCGTGAGTCAACATTTGATGTTGGTTCAATTGGAACATTAACGGCACCAGCTAAGATGGATTTGCTTCTCATTTCATATAGAATAAAAACCTTTTATATGTATGAAATGAACAATATACTCGACAAGGGTTTGAATGTAAAGCTAACGAATGAAAATATTGTTGAATTCACTGAGACAGGTGCTGTGTATAAAGATGTAGAACTACTGAACAAAAGAGCTAAGGGAAGAAGCAGGAACATGAACAAAGGGTGGAAGCCTATAAAAATTTATGTCAACGATGGCTCAGGAGGTTCAAACATAAAGTATGCAGAAAGTTATAGAGTTTATGCTCTCAAAGGTGAAAAGCCTTCATTTAAGAACAGCTATTCTAACGCATATCCTCAAAAGCTAACGGATGGAGAAGTGGATGATATGAATGACAGCAAAAATATTAACAGAAATGGCGACAGAGATGCATGGAATTTGTTTACCATCAGTCAATTGAAGATTAAACTTTAAAACAATGTTGGTCGTTCCCATGGAATATTTTTGACTTTAATGGTATTAGTCATGATATGAATCTCAAGGTATGAACGAGGAGAGATGAGAGACTTATATGCTTCCCAAATTTCTTCAAAAGGTAATGTTATACCTGACTGTTTCCAAATGAGTTCAATATCATAGCGTGAGAAACCTTGAAAGATAACGAAGTCAGTTATGAGACGTTTTATGTTTAAAGCTAAAAACCTCCATGTTTGCATAAGTATTGCTACAGTTAAGTGGTAATGTCTGACTTTAGTTATGATGTTAGCTAATGGTGAGTCTGGTTTTGACACTAAACCTTTTCCGGCGAAGTCGTCGCAAACGAGCAGAGTGTTTGAAGGATACTTTTTGAAGGGGTATTTTGAAAGTTTTGACAGAATGTAGTTTGTAAGTCGTTTCATATCGTAAACTCCTGAGTACTGACGTAAGTGGTGTTTGTCAATAATTCTTTCCATCTCCTCAGAAGTCTTTTGCATTCCTGACTGTATAAATTCAACGATGGCATAATATTTCCTCTTACGTCGAATGTAACGTTGAAGAAATTCAATGAGTTCACTGTCTGGAACTTTAACGACAGAGGCTTGAACTTTTGACATAAATGTTTTCGCTGTTGAGTCCATAGAGTCTGAAGTTGCTGATATAATGATTTGGTCATAATATGAGTCATTTCCTAAACGTTCTGTTATGAGTATATGACGAATGAGGTTAAATGTCTTACCTGAACCCATCTTTCCACAATAGAAATACACACCATTTGAACAGAACTCATAATCTTTGCTGAAAGGAAGAATAAGAGAACTGTTGAGCTTTTCACTGCTTTCATTCATGTCTTCATCTACGTCATGTATTAAATGCTTCATTTTATCTCCATTAAAAATGCAAGTCAGAAATATTCAGAATATAGCACCGAGTCTAACTGACAAGAGTATAAAGATATACTATGAACACGTTATGATGAAACCTACCAAAATTCAAGAAAGTCAGTATACTTATGAATATCCAAGACACTGGGTAGAGTATGTAGGAGGTGAGAAAGCTATTGAAATCAGACAGGTTCGAAGTATTCCAGCAGGAAGAACAATATTATTGAAGAACTTTAATGTTTTGAGGTATAATGATGAAACAAAGAAGCAAGATAGTTTCCCTGTTGCTGTGTATGTGAACTTAGATACAGGAGATGACATGAAAGTTTTTAACACAAAGCTTCAAACGGTAGTGAGAGAACAACTGACTGCGGAAGGGCATCCATTACCTTCAGAAGTTACCATAGCATATAATTTTGAAACAAACTCAATAGATTTTAAAGTCATCTCTGCAAAGAAGTCAGGTTTTACATTTAATGAAGCAGATGTATATTCGAATGAAAACTTCAAAGCTATTGCATGGTTAGATAATGACGATTGTTTTAAGAAAATATTTAAATACAGTGACTCAACGATGTCAATAGATGACCTTCGTGGAATGTTACCATCGACGTTTACAGTAGAAGGTTCAGCAGGATTGCTTACAAGTTTTTCAATTGGTGGCATTTGGTCTCGTGAGAACATTGTTATAAAATCCAGTATAAGTGAATTTGCTGAAGAATCTATATTATGTCTTTCAAACTACATGTATTCGCCGCCGAAGCATTATAGTATAACAAACTTTGTCAGTAAGTTTAACATAAGACTTGTCGAACCTTCTTCAATGAAAGATGTTGTGCTACCTAAAGATGGAAAGGATGGACTCATTATTGAGATGATTTTAATTGCATATTAATGAGCTTGTTCTTGAAGGTCATTCATGATGAAATAACTGTTGTAGAAGATGTTACAATTGTTCAGACATTTTTATTGAGAATAGATGATATAAGAAATAAGTTAGATAGACCGCAAAGCGGTGAGGGCGAAGCCCGTGAGAACGCTTATGTTTCATTGACTTTCTCCAGTAACGAGAACTTTTATGAGATAATATGAAGAGAGATGATTTTAATATGGTGTAAATGGTAGCTTGGGCAGCTTTAGGCGCAATGGGAACAAAGCATTAGCATTTGGAGCAAAAGCACTTGGAGCTTATGACGCAGTAAATAAAATGAGTGGAGGAAGGGTTTCGAAGACATTAGATGCAAATAAAGGGAAGATTGGAGGCGTTGCAAAGAAGTTAAGATTAAATAAAATAGGGCTCATAAATAAAGCATCCAATTTGGTTGCGACTGAGTCAGAAAATGCTTTAGGAAAGGACCATGAGTTTGCAAAACACGCAAAAGACTTTAATGACCAGATGAAAGGTGAAACAATGCATTTAAATAGAGTCGATGGAACTAAAGAAAATGTTTCTTCTCCACCAGCGGTTTATCCATACGGGCCTTATGGAATGTATGGAAACCTTATGAACGACCATTTGACCCATTGACTGGTGGAAGTAACTGGTATCATTACGGACGAAGAAGAAAGACAGTTAAGCTGGAGACAGACGTGAAGAAAGCAACTAAAAAGAAACCAAGGAAGAGAGTTATAAAGCAATGAATTCAAGTGGGTGAAAAAAGAGGTGAAAAAAGAGGTGAGATCTCACCACTTCACCTAAATTTATTTTTGTGCTATGTTTTCATACGTGTGAGGGTGGTGATATCATTAATTTTTAAGTTTATTTTTTAAGTTTATTTTTTATTTTATTTTTATATAAATGACGAAAACTATTGAGATAACAAACTACAACGGTCATGAGTTCAAGAATTTGTTCTTCGTTCCTCGTGAAAATACATTCTATCAGATACGAGGGAGAAAGGGTAAAGTTAGTTTGAGCGTTTATGAAGGAATGAAGAATGGAAAGTTTATACAAGCATACGATACAAACGGTAAACGTGTTTCATTAGCTTTGTCAAAACTTACTAACATTTATTTTGACAGTGATTTTGACCTATATGAAGAAGAAAGTGAGTCAGAAGATTATGAGCTGTTATGTGAAGCACAGCAATGGGAGGAGTTGCAATACTTTTGTAAGTGAGAACGTTTATTTTTACATTAGTGAGGTGAAGTGGTTGGCGGCTTTGTAAATATTTAAGGTTAAGTTAGTGTTGTCGTTTGTGTTGTAAAATATACGTTAACGGTTTCGTAAAGTGTCAAATTCACATATAATGGGTAAGGTGGAACGCAGTGCCACAGTACACTTGATATGTTTACTAACTAAGTCTTTATCCATTTTTGAAAATTGTATTGTAAATTGTAAGAATTTCTGAATACTACTACTATAAAATATAATTGCTTATCTATGTATATTCTCCCTGCATGATATCAAGACTTGGCTATTAGTCTTTATCCATTTTTGAAAATTGTATTGTAAATTGTAAGAATTTCTGAATACTACTACTATAAAATATAATTGCTTATCTATGTATATTCTCCCTGCATGATATCAAGACTTGGCTATTAGTCTTTATCCATTTTTGAAAATTGTATTGTAAATTGTAAGAATTTCTGAATACTACTACTATAAAATATAATTGCTTATCTATGTATATTCTCCCTGCATGATATCAAGACTTGGCTATAAGTCTTTATCCATTTTTGAAAATTGTATTGTAAATTGTAAGAATTTCTGAATACTACTACTATAAAATATAATTGCTTATCTATGTATATTCTCCCTGCATGATATCAAGACTTGGCTATTAGTCTTTATCCATTTTTGAAAATTGTATTGTAAATTGTAAGAATTTCTGAATACTACTACTATAAAATATAATTGCTTATCTATGTATATTCTCCCTGCATGATATCAAGACTTGGCTATTAGTCTTTATCCATTTTTGAAAATTGTATTGTAAATTGTAAGAATTTCTGAATACTACTACTATAAAATATAATTGCTTATCTATGTATATTCTCCCTGCATGATATCAAGACTTGGCTATAAGTCTTTATCCATTTTTGAAAATTGTATTGTAAATTGTAAGAATTTCTGAATACTACTACTATAAAATATAATTGCTTATCTATGTATATTCTCCCTGCATGATATCAAGACTTGGCTATTAGTCTTTATCCATTTTTGAAAATTGTATTGTAAATTGTAAGAATTTCTGAATACTACTACTATAAAATATAATTGCTTATCTATGTATATTCTCCCTGCATGATATCAAGACTTGGCTATTAGTCTTTATCCATTTTTGAAAATTGTATTGTAAATTGTAAGAATTTCTGAATACTACTACTATAAAATATAATTGCTTATCTATGTATATTCTCCCTGCATGATATCAAGACTTGGCTATAAGTCTTTATCCATTTTTGAAAATTGTATTGTAAATTGTAAGAATTTCTGAATACTACTACTATAAAATATAATTGCTTATCTATGTATATTCTCCCTGCATGATATCAAGACTTGGCTATAAGTCTCTATTCATTATGAGTATGACCCCATTTTTTTTTACAAAAAGTGCCGAATTGCAACTTTGTCCCAATCTCGAATTTCAAGTTGTACTCTAATTAATAAATCTAATAAATGAGTGGCACAACCAGAAATTGCAGACTCCATGTGCTTTTTTAAATCCATTAAATCCCTTATTAGAGAATTCAAATGTTCGGTAGGCAAAGTAGTGAGATAATGTGTTGTAATTCCATTATTTTCTTTTATTTCTGTATAGAAGATGACAATTGTAAGCGTTAACTTTTTAATAACTTCATATCTTCCGAATAAAAATGCATGATACTTTTCGAAAAAAACAAGAATTTTTGAAAAAGTGACAGTAACTATTAAAGTTATTTTATTACTAGATAGAGTAACCGAAATAAGTTGTAGACAACTTTATACAAACAAGATAGACTGCAACATCTAAGGGATAATTTGTTGTCTATGGGCCAAACTATTTTACCATTCAACAGCAGAGCTTAATATTAAATCTTATGAGGAAATTGAATTCTGATTTGATTCAAAATACGAGATTCTTAAAATTTGTAATAAAAATATAATAATATAAGTTAAATTATATTTGATGTTTTGTTGTTTATGCTAAATATCCATTTACAAAATTATATTTTAATTATATCACAAAGAATTTAAATTAAAACTAATAAAAATAAATTATATACACTGATTATATATTAGTGCCTCATAGCCTTTAGTTCCTAATAGATAGCTGGGGAACTTTCTCCAAATGATAAGTTATTCAGAGAAAGTTTCCCAGCTATCAAGAGGGAATTGTTCCTTATGAGGTATATAGTTATGATGTATACCTCATAAGGAACAATTCCCTCCTTAAAATCGTAGACATTTTTATACTTATTAATCAACCATTCAAAATCATATTCCTCTGAAAAGTTATTTTATTAAAAATTTAGAATTTTAATAAATATAGAGTTTGAATTTCATACAATACCTATATATTTTCAATAATGGAATTTGAAAACCATTCTCAAAAGTTCTCAGAAAACCTTTTTTTCATTAATTTTAAGAAATCTGAGTATTAAATTAAGTGATAAATTCGTTTGACACTACTTTAATTTTTAAATTCAAAAAATTATATGTGCTTCTTAAAATGACTCAAAAAAATTTTATTATAAAATAATATATAATATTAAAAATCCCACAACATTTTTTTACTTTACATAATCGTACTTCCTCGACAATTAATTTCCACTCAATTTCTATCGTTGACCGAACTTAGCATGCAACAATAGTACTCACACCCTTTAATTCCTAACCAAGATCAATAATTTTTATGTAATCTTATTTTATTTTTTAAAATATCATTTTACAATAATATAGATTTTATTGATAATATATTTGAATTAAATACCTTCTTTTCGTAAAATCTGACATGTAAAGTTGTCACTTTTTGTAAAGGGTCAAATCTCTTAACCCCGTATACAACAGTTCTGCAACTTCATGATCTGCTTATTCAGATCGTTGAGGTACTTCTGTCTCAAAGCTGCTTCAATACCCTCCCAGACTGTTTGTTTCTCCTCCTCATAAGTTAGTGTATGTTTCATCCTGATCTTGATCGTGATCTTGTGATCTCTCGCTTCTTGAATGTAGAGGTCTTCCTCCACGTATGCCAGTGCAACGAGCCATTGGTCTGCTATCTGTTGTGGTTACTCTCTTATCTTCGCTGCTGATCATAGATACACGCTCTGTGCTGTCTATTAAATAAATGGCACTTTTATGAACGATAAAATATTGTGCGGGATCACATATAAATAACAGAATACAATTAAAAATAGTGTTTAGAAATTTAAGGTTAAGTTTCACTTTTCTCATGTCACTTTTCATAAATTCTACAACACTCATTTCTATTAATATTTAATTCATCCTTTAGCTTTGTTTTTTCTATCTTTTACAATGCGATTTCTTTTTCCAACAGTAAATTTTCATGTCTTAATCGTGATTCTCGTTTTTCAGTCTTTTTCAATCTAGCATATTCACATTTACTGCTATTTATTTCCTTTATTTATTGATTTTTTTGCTAATCTAGCTTCAGTCATTTTTGCAGTCTGCGGTCCTTGTTGTTTTGCCCTCATTTCAAACTTGGTTTGCGCAAAATCTTTAAATAATTGATAAGCTATGATATTCTTTTAATTTTGGAGTTACATTGTGAGATATCATTATTATTGAATTTTTTCGGAAATCCTCTAAATACAAATGTATATTCACCTCCGTGTTTGGATTTTTTTAATGGAAAATTGAGAAGAAATGAAGCTATTTTGGCCAAAGATATATTATCTCTTTGAATCATTGGTGCATTTTCTAAAAATCTAGAAAGCCCATATAACATCTCTGCATCTTCGAAACTAGCTTGTATTGAAATGAAATATAGATTATGAAATCTTTTTTTACTATTTCGCAGATTCAAAATTTCAAGATCTATTCCAGGTGATTCAATGAAAATTAAAGCTTTGAGCGATTTAACATGTCTTGATCGAGTTTGTCATTTATCAAAATGCACCTTTCTGATTGATATGTTTCAAAGTTTTGTCCTTGAAGATGCTTATAATTTTGGATCAAATGATCAAAGGTTGGTTGAATATTTAAATTTTGTTATAAATTCGAATAATGAAACCTTCAATGTAGGAATTATAAGGTTCTTTATCATGAAAACATCATTTCAGAAGGAACCAAAGTAGAGTATAAACATATATTTCAAATATGCTCAAAGTTTGAATTCAATTTCTTCAACATAATTCAAGGTTGAAGAAAGTTTCAATATTGGATGGAAATATAAGTTGTTTGGTTTTATTCTTCATTTTGGTAATTCGATGAAATGTAATCATTATGTTTCTTATATCAAAATAGAAAATTCCTGGTATTGTTTTGATGATACAAATTTTGGACATGTAAAATACGATAGCGTTCTATTTATTAAACGGCTCGATCAAATACAAACATCGTATTTGTTTGGCATTTTATAAAAAAGAAAAAAATGTTTTTTTTATGTATGAAAATATAATTTATTTAAGAGAGTCAGAATGTGAAGTGAATGGCCGGAAATAAAATGCTATTATCACGTCATATATTTATTATCTTGTGGTAAAAATTATATTGCTGCAAATCTCATTTGAAGTAGTGTTTGTATGCTATAATTTTATTACCATAAATGCAAGCTTTTAGTTTTCCCTTCTATAATAAATATCTGAATTTTGCGTTTGATTGCGGGTAAAAAACTTTACATATCATATAATTTGAGCTTTAAAACCAAAATGTACTCAATAGAAAGCATAGAAAACAATATAATATATATGTAAATATGAAAAAAGACTCCTTAATATTAAAAACCAGTGATTAGATACAGTTGAAAGTTCAATCTTTTTACCTCAAACTTTGCAAAATTTGTGGTAACCCTAATTTAGCCAAAAATTGAATAAAAATATTCGAAAAAAATCTCAAAATTGGAAAAATCAGAGAAAATACTATAAATTTGATAGAAAACATATGATCTATTAAATTCTTTTTTATAAAGTATAATCATTTTTAATTTAAATGAATAAGTGGGTATGAGTTGAGAGTTTTTTAGAGAATGTGGAAATTGGGAATAACGAGGTGACGTGAAATCTCTCTCATGACACTTCGTAATATGGAATTCTTGATAGATCAATTTGAGGGCTAACACAAAATATTATGGGCCAAATTGAATACTTTACAAAAATCCGTGCTTAAATTGTAAAAAATGAATTTTTTTATTAAATTATAGTAGTTATTTGAAGAGAAGCTTGGATCATATCGACATGAGTGTAATGTCTAAAACAATCACTTCTCCAACGACCCATAACTTGGATTATGTAGTCTGGAATTAAGGGTCGAGCCTACTAAGGTAGGTAAAATCACTCGTATCAAAAACCATCACCTGTAACAGTCTCAAAAAGTGGAGTTTACATGTCAAAAAAAACGAATGTGATTTTTTTTATACTTTTGTTATTTTCTAATTAATAAAAAATAATTGAATATACATGCAAAACATTGTGATGTAACTGCATTTTGATATAATAAAATTAATTTTGTCTAATTTCAGAATAGGAGGAGAAGCAGTTGTAAAATTAACATTAATGATTCAGTTCTTTGAATCATTTAATAAACAATTTAATTCTCTGTATGAAATATTATTCAGTTCTTTGAATTTCGTATAATTAGTTCATTTAATGAGGGAATTCAAGATGAATTCATAATCTTCTCTGTAAATTCGATTTGAATATTTCAGATTCCAGTTTGAATAGATCATGCATTTATTGGTTCACAATGTGAATTTAAAATGAAAATTTGGTGTGCTCGATGAAGTAAATACGAATATTTTGTTTATTGAGTGGATTATCTTTGTTATCAAAATGAATTCATCAGTTTCTCTAGAATTCATAACGAATTAAATATTTTGTTCGTGTTATAAACATATATTCTGCATTTGCTCTAATAAATGAACATGTATTAATCAATCTTGGTGTTATCTGATGAAACAACATGAATTCATCATCTCTTCTGATGAAACAAGACGAATTCATCATCAGTTCTTATAAAATCATATGCATTCATCATCAGTTCTGTAGTTTAACAATAGTTTATTGGTGTTATCTGATGAAACAACATGAATTCATCATCTCTTCTGATAATACAACCTGAATTTATCATCTCTGCTGATAATCCAACATGAATTAATCATCTCTTCTGTAGTTTAATACTGAATTCATCATGTCAATTGATAATATAACATGAATTCATCATCTGTTCTGTAGTTTAACAATAGTTTATTGGTGTTATCTGATGAAACAACATGAATTTATCATCTGTTCTGACAAAATCATATGCATTCATCATCTGTTCTGATAATACAATATGAATTCATCATCTTTTCTTTAGTTTAACACCGCATTCTTGGTGGTATCTGATGAAACAACATGAATTCATCATCTCTTCTCATAAAATAAAATGAATTCATCATCTTTTCTCATAAAATAAAATGAATTCATCATCTCTTCTGATGAAACAACATGAATTTATCATATGTTCTGATAAAATCATATGCATTCATCATCTTTTCGGGGATCTACGAAATCGTCCGAAAAATTTTCAGATAAAACATCATGAAGTGCTGTTAATTGCCATGAAAAGCGCAATAAATCGATTGGAGAAATAAAAGCATGCTGATAATCTACAGAATTGGCTTTTGAAATTTTGTATCCGGACTGCTTGACTAATCTTTTTATATAACTTCGAAATTCTTTGTTATTTAGTGACATCTCAGCAAAATTCTGGAAGTTTAAAGGAATATCTTCAATATTATCTAGGAAGAATTTGAAGTTTTCTTGAGAGAGTACAAATAATTCAGAAGTTTTTACCGCGATTGCATCGAGCATTAAAGCACTCTTACTTGATTTCATCTCAGTAATCCAATCAAGTAATTGAATTTCATAACTATATGGTAATTTAGGTCTTGAAACATTTAGTTCCGTGAAAGAATAAACTTCTCCTTTCAGAGTATAATAATAGCAATCCGAAATTCTCTGTCTTGTTACATCCATATTAAATTCTAGATGAAATATATCAGCTATGTTTCTGAAAGTTATTCCATCTAAGGCGAACAAAGCAACTATTATTTGCTTATCAATTGAAGTTCTATTAATCAATTTTGGTCTGAAATCTTCGATATAAAGAACACTCTTTTTAGTTTTTTCTTCTTTAAAAAATTGCGAAAAGTAGTTATCGTCTTCCATTGATGATTGTGATAAATGTGTTTTCTTATAAACGAAAATGTCAGATGTCAAATGTCAAATTTAAATTGAGAGCTTTTGTCAGATTGTCAAATGTCAGATGTCAAATGAGATTTGATAACTTATTTTTGACATGTCAAAATATTATTTTGATTTATAATCATATTTTATATTTAAATTTTTCATTTTTATCAAAAAATAAAATTCAATATCGTATTGAAAATTGGTGTGTCAAATGTCAGACGTCACTTTTCTAAATCTGACATGTTAGATGTCAAATGTCATTTTTGTCAAACGGTTTTTATCCTTTTCGTTTACAACACTTTTTTATTCGAACTTTTAAACCTCTCGGTCCGTTGCATTGTATGCAACGAAGTTGAACCAGACATTGTAAGTATGATTGCAATCTGAGGAAATTTGGATGGTTTCACAAGGTACCAGAACAATGTTTCCATCCCAGCAAGCGATACTGTTGTGTTAGAATATGGTGACCAACTCCTCGAAAACAATTTCGCTTCCAATTTTGCGCTGGAAAACAACACGCAAACGGTCTCCGACAGCAACGGAGCTACCAGCTTCGTCAGTGTCTTGTAGCGCAATGGTGCGAAGAAGGAAATTGTTTGTGCTTTCGACTCCAAATTCGCCAGGTGTGGACCTCATTTGCCAGCCAACATTGTCAGCATCATACTCATCAGCCAGTTCGTCCTCATCGTAACTGTGAGAGTATGGGGTGAAGTTTATGGCTGCTCTTGCATATTGGGTTTGAATTTGGGTCCGTAACGTCCGCAAGAGTTGGTTGAAGAGTCTTTCTTGGATAGCACGGACCAAGGTAGGACAATATCTAACCAACTCATCCGCGTACTGAACCGAATTTGGATAAACTCTAATTTTCCGAAAAAGTGACAAGACCTTAATTAAAAAAAATAAAGGTACATTCTTTCAATTTTTTCTTTAATAAATTGTACAATTAATTTTTAATTATAAATTCATATCATTATAAAAGGATGAAAATTATACAAATATAAATTCTTCAATTTAATATTTGTGAGAGTTTTATCAAATTTAACATTTTATTATCAGCTCTATTATATATTATATTAACAGATGAACACATATATAATTGTATAGGGTGTCCAAAGGTGCGTTTAGCACAGCGCTCTATATGAGACTATTAAAGGAGATATATGCTGATTATAAATATATAATAAAAAATATGAATATATGTATATGATGAGTATGTTGTATTTTGGCGCCATGCCGGGATATAAAATGAATTTTGAGACAAGAGGCGGTTTCGCGGGAAATTTTGGCGGGATTTTTTTCATTTTTTTAATGAATCATAAAGAAAACATCCTCGCTCTTGCAAAAAATGCAAAGACTGTAAAAAAATCTACGATACATTGGTAAAATGCTTCGGTATGGATGCTCCTAGCTATTCCACTGTAACGTATCATGTTAGGGTGTATCACCTCATGAACAAAAAGGCGCCCATCATAAAAATTGACAAAAAATCGCCGGATCAAAGAAAAATCAAAGCAATTCTTCAAGCGCTAGATGAAGACCCAAGAGCATCACTCAGAAGGATAGAGGAGATGACAAAGATACCACATACAACAGTCAGTTATTATCTGCACAATTATTTGAACTACAAACTAGCGTATACACGTTGGGTTCCGCACAACCTTAATTCAGTTCAAAAAAAATCTAGAGTCCAATCTTCGAAAGAGCTCCTCTCTATATTGGGTGCGTATCAATCCAAGAAGTTTCGCTTTTTAGTAACAGGGGACGAGTCTTGGTTTCAATATGCAACAGAAGCCAAAATCATGTGGATCCCGAAGGATGAAAATCCGCAAACATTCCCGAAGAAAAAAATTGACACACCAATGATGATGTTGTCGGTTTTTTGGGGCGTGAATGGCATCATCGCAATTGATATTCTTCAAAAACCTAATACGATGAATGCTCAGTATCTAATTGACAATGTTCTTACTCAAATTATCAATTCTGATGAATTTGAGAAATCCAAACAACAAAAACAAAAGTTTGCAATTCATTTTGATAATTCAAGAGTTCACAAAAGTCATAAGGTAATGAATTACTTGGTGGAAAACAATGTCAAAGTTGTTCCAAACCAAATTTATTCACCTGATATTGCACCCTCTGACTTTTATTTATTCGGCACGCTAAAAAAGAGAGCTGAAGGACGCGAATTCGCGAGTCCAGATGATCTTGAAAATTTTGTAAGAGAGCAATTTGAGCAATTTTCTCATGATGATTTAAAGCGTGTCTTTCAAGCCTGGATCGATCGCTGCGAACGCGTGATTGAATCCAATGGTGATTATATTTAAATAAACTTTATATATATGTAACTTGTTTATTTCTATTCGCAGTATTCAGGTTTGTGCTAAACACACCTTTGGACACCCTATATATAAAGAATCAAGATAAGAATGTGATAATTGACACTTTTGTAAAAAACAACTTGAGAGACTTATGAATAGAGTCTAGAAACAAGATAATATGCAATATAATATACAATATCTATGTACATTTATCTTGCATCATTGTTAGCTCGTGAAAGCTCATTTCTCAGATTTTCAAAGAATCTCTTGATTTCAAAAAAGTCAGAGATTTTCACACAAAAGCTATATAGGGTAATAGTATATGGGTTATATCTATATAATATCTTATTTGTAACAATAACAATCAATCAGGTCATCCACTATAGCAATATTACTTTGTTATTTTTTTGGTCAACATGACTTTCTTCAATTAATATCGAATATTGACAGTGAGTCTTTCAGATACAGACACGCAAACTAATAGTAATTGATGTGTGCAACATCTATACTCATCTGGATTCCTCAAATACAATCTTAATCCAGCTATCAAAACACATCTATTTCACAAATCTTAAAAAAGTAAAGAAAATCGGCACTTACAGACTTATAAATAGAGTCTATAAACAAGATAATATGCAATATAATATACAATATCTATGCACATATTATGTTAAATTATCTTCATTTAGAGTAAGCATCTTTTTAATCAAGCATCATTTTGATATTGCAGGCTTTTCAGTATGTGGACTCCTTCGCTTCGCTCGGAGTCCACATACTGAAAACACTGCTTTTTAAAATCAAAAAATTAATTTTCATATTAATTGTGTAGATTGCAAACCACAATTTTTGATCAGGTAAATATTGTACCTGAATGCATTTTAAAAGGCTGTCTATTCCACCAAAGAGATGCATTTTCCATCCCAATAAAACTCAATATTAAGCGATATATCTGAAAAATACGAAGTGTCGGGTAGTGAATTTCACTTCACTTCGTTTCGCTCTGTGGAAATTAGAATTAAATCAAAAGTTTTTCACATTTTGGCATCAAAGAATTAAAATGAGAGATCTTCAAGCAAGAAGCAAACAACTGTAATAGATATGAACAGAATTTGAAGATTTTGTGTCAAAAACGAACCATAAGGAGGTGAAAGTCACTTCATATTAACCCCCAATTTGGGAAATTTTAATTCCCCCGATTGGAGTCTTTCCTGCTTTTTAATCATCATCCGAGTTGTCTTTAACTAAGATTCGAAGAAATTCTGAAGGAAAACCGATATTACTCTTAAATGGCTGTTTAAAATTCATATTCAGATTCCTCAATCCTTTGCATTCTTCTTTCGAGATTTTAAGCTCATATTTTTTTCAAACTGAAATGGTTTTCATATACATCTTTGAGAGTTATGAAGATGCATTCGACACATTATTTTCTAAAACTCATCAAAACGTTTATAAATTTCATAAAGTGATGCCAACAAGAAATGATATAAAAATCAATGTATGATGTCATTTTACAAATATTCCAAAATTATTGCTTATTGAATTTGTGAGCGTAATGAAAAATCATTTTCGCAAAATTTAATGGTTTACGATTAAAAAAAATTCAAAAATTGCGAAAAAATTTATTCGTAAAATTTTAATTGAAATTAAATTCTTGTTGTAATAGCAACAGATACAATTCTCATATCAATCGCTGTATAGCATTGATAGCAGTCACTTCTCCATCTTTCCATTGCCTTGATCTGATAATCAGGAACATTGAAATGGACCGCAGATTGCGCCGCACCCTTCCTAAATGAATGAGTAGAAAGATTGATGCCTGGAAAGAGATGATCAAAGATTGATTTAATAATTCTTCTATATGTACAAGCTTTGAAAGGAAAAATCAAATCTTCTGAAGGCATTTTATCTATTTGGTCAACATAATTATTTGGGAATTTACATGTGAAAATTATTATATTCTGCCTCATTCTTTGTGGAATCAATCAAATAATTATATAAACCATACTCACATTAAATAATGTTTATTTCTCATATATTAAAACTCTAATAATTTGATAGCCTGCTATCTTTCATTAAAAACATCAAAAAATATGGAATTTTTAACAGGTGAATTTTTATTCTTTCCTTGAAATCAATTCTAGTTATTTACAAATGCTAGAAGTACCAATATACTAAGAACTATTCCTTACTTAAATTTCTATTGACAAATTTTTTAAAATAAGTTATCATTTGAAAAAGAAATCAATTTATGATAGTGCATTCAAAAATTTAATTTTTTATTATATCGAAAATAAAGAAAAAATATTTTCATCAATATCTCCTTAGGTACTAAATTTGCAAATTGATAACTTCTATAATTTAGTAGGGGAGCTATCATATATGTTCATATAAATTTCATCTATATGATATTCTGAAAATCTTATTGCAGTTTGGCAGCATTATGCCTTAATTATATATCATTAGGACAGGCATGAATCATGGAGATCTGCGAAATCGTCCGAAAAATTTAAATTTGACAGCGAATTGGACCGAAAAAAACTGAAACAAATCATTGTGCCAGTTTCATTTTTTCATTTCACTTTGAATTACCTCTATTCGTATCTCCAGCAGCATTATAGGGAAAATACCCATAACATGAGAGAATTCTTGTTCCTCTGTTTTTTGGTGAGTATTGTTTTCTGTGCATAGAACCTTACAGCGCTTTGTTAATGCTGATAAAGTTTCATAAACACTCCACTTATTGCGTGCATTGATATTGGCAATATAATTAAATTTTTGGAAGAAGTGTCCAACTGGCATTTCAAATTTTTGATCTCGTTTCTTCGTTTTCTTTTGAACTTTTTATGTTGATGTTTAGTTCATTGGAAATTTAACCAATTTGACCTTTTTCAAATTTATGTAAAAAATTCAAAATGACTATGAATTTATTTATATCTACTTATAAGTTTTTCAAAATACTAAAATATATCATTCAGGTTATATTTAATTACATTTGAAAATTATAAATACAAAAAGCTAATTTGTTTTGGATTGCATCTATATTTTAACATTTAATTGGTAATGGAACCAGACAAGTTCAGCATTTTTATGTTTCATCGTATTAGCTTTCAATTCAATAATATTCTGAACAGAATTAGAATTTTTTTTCAGTTTTTCACTCATAATAATTAAATATCATATATTGTTTATTCTTCATTATTACATAATATTAAAGCTATATTTAAAATTAATAACTTTTAAATGAATTGTGAGATTATCAAAATAAAATTGAATAACATTAAATATGAATTTAAATAATAAATTATAATATAGTAAATTAAAATATGTTAATTTAATATTGAATTTTGCAATGAAATTTGAATTAATCTGAAAAGTATTTAATATAGGGTGTCCAAAGGTGTGTTTAGCACAAACCTGAATACTGCGAATAGAAATAAACAAGTTACATATATATAAAGTTTATTTAAATATAATCACCATTGGATTCAATCACGCGTTCGCAGCGATCGATCCAGGCTTGAAAGACACGCTTTAAATCATCATGAGAAAATTGCTCAAATTGCTCTCTTACAAAATTTTCAAGATCATCTGGACTCGCGAATTCGCGTCCTTCAGCTCTCTTTTTTAGCGTGCCGAATAAATAAAAGTCAGAGGGTGCAATATCAGGTGAATAAATTTGGTTTGGAACAACTTTGACATTGTTTTCCACCAAGTAATTCATTACCTTATGACTTTTGTGAACTCTTGAATTATCAAAATGAATTGCAAACTTTTGTTTTTGTTGTTTGGATTTCTCAAATTCATCAGAATTGATAATTTGAGTAAGAACATTGTCAATTAGATACTGAGCATTCATCGTATTAGGTTTTTGAAGAATATCAATTGCGATGATGCCATTCACGCCCCAAAAAACCGACAACATCATCATTGGTGTGTCAATTTTTTTCTTCGGGAATGTTTGCGGATTTTCATCCTTCGGGATCCACATGATTTTGGCTTCTGTTGCATATTGAAACCAAGACTCGTCCCCTGTTACTAAAAAGCGAAACTTCTTGGATTGATACGCACCCAATATAGAGAGGAGCTCTTTCGAAGATTGGACTCTAGATTTTTTTTGAACTGAATTAAGGTTGTGCGGAACCCAACGTGTATACGCTAGTTTGTAGTTCAAATAATTGTGCAGATAATAACTGACTGTTGTATGTGGTATCTTTGTCATCTCCTCTATCCTTCTGAGTGATGCTCTTGGGTCTTCATCTAGCGCTTGAAGAATTGCTTTGATTTTTCTTTGATCCGGCGATTTTTTGTCAATTTTTATGATGGGCGCCTTTTTGTTCATGAGGTGATACACCCTAACATGATACGTTACAGTGGAATAGCTAGGAGCATCCATACCGAAGCATTTTACCAATGTATCGTAGATTTTTTTACAGTCTTTGCATTTTTTGCAAGAGCGAGGATGTTTTCTTTATGATTCATTAAAAAAATGAAAAAAATCCCGCCAAAATTTCCCGCGAAACTGCCTCTTGTCTCAAAATTCATTTTATATCCCGGCATGGTGCCAAAATACAACATACTCATCATATACATATATTCATATTTTTTATTATATATTTATAATCAGCATATATCTCCTTTAATAGTCTCATATAGAGCGCTGTGCTAAACGCACCTTTGGACACCCTATACAATTATATATGTGTTCATCTGTTAATATAATATATAATAGAGCTGATAATAAAATGTTAAATTTGATAAAACTCTCACAAATATTAAATTGTATTCAAAATATTTTATCAACATATTGTTATTTAATATTAATTAAATATCATATATCCATACTATATTATGTCTGACAATGTTACCATATCAATGCCATGCCTATTTAAGCATAACTTTTATACCAAAATTTGCATAAAAGCAGTAATGCAGTGTTTAGCACAAAACATATGAATATATTGTTATATTTAGCATTATTGGTGATGAAAGAATCCCCTGATCAACATCAGTAGACTTACAAAACGCGGGCGTACACCTAAGCCATACGACTTTCAAAAGTCAATAAAGATTGTTCACGAACATATTGATTTTCCATGTGGCCAAACAAAAACATACGAACGACTTAAATACTTTTAAGCAAATCGGTACACAAAGATTAAAAATGTACATGTCGGCCACAAAACGGCCGTCCGCTATTGAGCTCTCTCCCCGAACTTAATGTGGCATGCAGATGTCCATTACTTTCTGGGAGAAAGAAGATACCCGATATACAGAATTATTGACGGCTTTTCCAGAAAGAATATCACTGTTAAACTCTTACCAAACATGCTGGCAAGCTCAACATCACAAGTTGCTGTTGATGCATTTCTGAATTACGGAGCACCATATTGTTTTTGGACCGACAACGGTTCTGAAAACAGAGGTGTTTTCCAAAATGATCTTAACCTCTTCGGAGTACAATGGCGCCATACTGATTCTCATTCGCCAAACCAAAATGGCAAAATCGAGATGTTTTGGCAAACCCTCGAGAAATTCTCTAGCTTAAATGATATGCAACGCTTTATCAATGAATATAATCAAAATATCACACATTTTTATTTACCAATCAACCCACAAACACATCATCACTATACACCTGATCAAATGTACAATTCAAGAGCCAAATACACCCCAGCAGACAGACAAAGATTATGGAAATATGGAATTGTGAAACTGGTCAGACAAATATTGAAACCTTTACCACATAATTTGATTAAAAAATAAAATTTTATAATTTACTATTTTTATAGTATATAAGGAATAGATAACAATAGTCTATAAATCAATAAATATTGAATTCCAAAAAAATATAGAAAATTGAGAAATTTTGAGGGGGATACCGAGGTGAGGTGAAATTGCTCTCCCGACACTTCGTAATTGGGCAATTATCTTCATTCAGAGGAAGCATCTTTTTAATCAAGCATCATTTTGATATTGCAGGCTCTTTAGTATGTGGACTCCGAGCGAAACGAAGGAGTCCACATACTGAAAAGCCTCCTTTTTAAAATCAAAAAACTAATTTTCAAATTAAATTGTGAAGATTGGGGCTAGTGAAAAATTGGCGTCACAATGGGGTGGCATGCAAACTATTCAATTTTGAGTGTAAACTACTCAATTTTGAGTACCCCTGGCGTCATAATGGCAAAAATTGAGAAGGGCCGCGTCACATGTAAAGTGTCAAAAAAATTACAACAAAATTGAGCAAGCGAAAATTTTATAGAATATCTAACAATGCATTTTAATCATTAAAATTATAAATGGCCATATGTTCTCTCAATATTCAAATAATTTTCCGATATACAGCCGTTGTTTTGATTTTGAAACATTAAACAAATAAAATTCATGCTACTTCAGACTTATCCTGAAGTTACTAAGTCCAAATATGACAATTTGAAATTTAACGATCAATAAAAAAGCTATCGACTTGCTTTTGTTAGAGATGTTATAGGCATAGAACATGATTCAGTTCTAAAAGGATTTCGTTTTTGACAAACAATAATTTTTCATAAAATATTTAATGCTTTTTGGTTTGTTCATTTTCGAGAATAAAAATTATAATTTTTGTTGATTCATTGATGTATGCTAATTGATTTTTACATATTTTACTAAATTTTATAAACTTGATTTGAATTTTCTAGAGAATTTTATTAAAAACAACATGAAATCATTAAATTATTTTGGTAATGATTGCTTATTTAAAATTTTTAAGCATGAAATCCAGAATCTTCTGAATCATTAGATTCAGAATCCAATTCATCAGAATTAGATTTCAAATAATCACCAAAGTCCCCATCTGATGATGGATCATCAGGATCATGAGCATCTTAGTGTGATTCGGAATCATACTCAGCAATATGCTTGAAAGTTTGTTCTTTCTGGGATTATGGAATCGCCCATGCACTCATTATGGTCCTTATGCCAAGCTCACTCCATGCTTGAAGAAAGATGTCAGCTGCTTGTGGACGCGTGAACTGATACTCTGGATTCTCGTACACCTGAGGACTTTAAAGCACCAAAAAATCTGCGATCGAGGGGTTGATATACATCAGCTCAATCTGATTCTGATTACAAATGTTTTTGACACTTTCTGTCATATGGGCGGGGAACTGATCAGTAAGTAATGCGCATGGAACAGCGCCACCTTCGAAGTTCCATCCAGTCTCATCCATATTGAATATAAACTCTGGAGGATATCTGTTCATGACTTCGTCTAGTTGTTGTATAAAATTATCGATTTCTTCCCTTCTTATTTCTCCGCGCTTTTTGGATCTAATTTTTCGGAAAGAGAGACCATTTCTGTTGCAGAACTTCTTTGCAAAATGATAAGAAAAGAAGTTCTGCTTGAAATGGCCTCTATTTGGTAAATCGAAAGATTTCCAATAATCAAACAGTAAATCCAAAAGATTTCTGCGCCTTATTGGAATTCCATACCGAATAAATTGCTCTCTTAAGAGATCTGCAACTTGTTTTTCTTCTTCTTCTGTGAAATTTCTATTTGCCTTACCAAAGTTTCGACCAGGAACATGATATTATATCATAAATTTACATTGATTCCTTAACAAAATTTTATTGCAGGCTTTTCATATTGAAAAAAAAATCACTTCAGTTCCTCCATATGGAATCGAGTCAAATGACTTAGGATATTACCTCTGTAGATTCCCTTGTGAAACTGATTATACTGAACTGCAAGAACACTATTTTCCCATTCTGTTATTTTATGGTTTCTCCTCAGTCATCAGAAAAATTATAGATTGATTAAAACTCAGTATACATTCATGAAAATGAGTTTATTAATCCAATGAAAAAAGGTTGTTCTTTTTATTAGTGTGAGAGGATCAACGAGCATATCATAAAACATTATTACGCATGCCAGAATTCCTCAATATTTATATTCCCATGAATAAAATTATAAGGATTATGCAAACATTAGACAGAATCCCATTTTTGGGAAATATATTAATAGAATTTTTATTCAATTTCTATTCAAAATATGAAAAATGTGGATTTGACACCGTCAAATCCTCTTTTTCAAAAAGTGATATGATCCTTAGATATTTCGATATTTTCGAATTAATATCAATTGGTTGCTATGTTACATATCTGGAAATCATATAATATCTAGTCTCCTAATGCTATGCTATATGAATTATCATATGTATATAAACAATTGATGAACTTTATAGTGGAATGCATTAATTCTAATATAATTTTAACAATTTTTATATGAAATGCCAAAAATAATAAAACAATTTTGAATTGGGAATAAAATGAGATAATGTGATAATATCAAATTTAATCTTTATAAATTCGGAGTTAATTATAATTCTTCATATATATTGTCCAGCAGTTTTTAATAAATGCTGTTTTAGTTTAAGGTTGTAGTCCACTTATAATTTTTCATAATCTGTTGGCATTTAAGATATATACTAAGCGTATAAAGTTTGATGGCTCCGAACCTTGAACAGTGACGCTTTATTTTAAAGATATTTACTTATGGATATATATACTATGTATGAAATAATAATTTTGAGTGCGCATTTGAGAAAGACATAGAATAAATATAGAAAATTCTAGATATAGATTTGCAATATATAGATATGGCAAATCCTAAAATTTTAGGAAAAATTGAATTTTGTATACATTTTTGAGATACTTATACAAAGAAATTCTCACAAAAATTTATATGTAAGATACTATCATTAAAAATGTTTTTTTCCCTTGATTTTTACTTTCAAGGGATTCACTTAAAGAAATGTTACGAGTATATAAGAATTTCCGAAAAAGTGACACCCAAAAAGTGACACTTTCAATAGGGGGTAACACTTAAAAAGTGACAATTTAAAATCCACAATAAATAAAAATAATAAATTTTTTAGTCTATTAAATTATTCTTTTCTTTGAAATCCTCTAAAAATCCTTCGAAATGTTCTAAAATATAATCTGGAGAATTATAACAAAATTCATTAATTTCTAACATATACGTATCTAACAATTCATTTGGAATTTCAAACGATCTTAAATATGTAATTGAATTTTGTATCTTCTCATTTATTTGAGAAAGTTTTTCTTCAGCATTTTCCAATAAAAATCTTAATGGATTCAAATTGGCTTCTTGATTCTGAACAAAATTTAATACTTGGTATAAACGTGATTGAACTTCTCTTTTCAATTTTGTTTTATAATCTGTCAATCGAGGCTCGCGAATTCTAATTGAAGGAATAAAACCTGTTTGAAGTAAATCTTTAATACGATAAAAGTAATTGGGTGCAACTTCTTCTAAAAGATTTTTGACAAAAACATCAATTCTTTGATTTTTAACGCAGCCAAAATCGTGATATTTTATCTTTTTAAATAAAGATTCAGAAACGTTATTCACAACGGTTAATTCATTTGGTCTGGCAGCGGCTATCCACTGTTGTTTATGAATGTCCCACTGACGTGTAAAGTATTGATTAAATTCCAATTGATCTTGAATTTTATCAATAATGTGCTCTTTATACATTTTTCATCTTCTTCTGATAATAACATAATCATAAATTCACTTCTGATCTAATCTCTTCATCATTTATCTTTGAGAGATTCTTTTTAAGTGCGCGTATTACATGTAGCGCGCACCAAAAGATATTGCACTCCGGAAATGAATTCCTAATCCCGTTGAAAATGTTTAGTGCACAGTCAGACATGATAAATTCAGGTTCTGTGTGAGTTGTTTCAAAATATTTACTTAAGCAAAAAGAAATATTTTCACTATTATCTGGATATATTATAAAATAACACAAAGGGATAGAATGAGTATTAGCAAATTTGGTAGCTAATACATAAAAAGGAAATCCATGAATAATTAATTTAAACGTAGAGTCTAAGTGATAAATTGGTGGTTTTTCATGAATTTGAGAGATCATATCATTATCAGAGTAAATAAAAACCAATTTGTCTGGAAAATCAGTATCTTCACCTTGAATGTCAAAATAAATAAGGTCATCATGTTGATCTTCCCATTGATTAACATAGTTTTGTAAAGATTGAAATTGATTTAAAGATATGTCTGGTAAAGATCTCATAAGATCTTTTTGTTGTAAATAATATTTCAATTGATTGCAGTTTGTTTCATAGTCATGTGAATACAAGTATGATCTTTAGGTATTTCAAGCGTTTTGTTGACTTCTTGTGTTGCATTAAGTGGACTTTCGTGATTCATGAGAAATTTTTTAATCCAAGCACGGTAAGTACCACTTGTAGGTGTATTTTTATGTTGTGGTGGTGGTCCTGAGTGAATATGAGTTAAGTTTGCAGATTTAAAAATGTAATTGTCGAAATTTTTAATAAATTTAAAGCCTGCTGGGCAGCCTTCGTATTCGCATCGGTGGTAGATTAATACTCCTGTTCCAATTGATAGTTTTTGTGGGAGTTAGTACACCAGTCTTGGGTATGGTGGCACTGCGTTCCACCTTACCCAATACTTGTGAATTTGACACTTTACAAAACCGCTAACGTACATTTTACAACACGAACACAAAACTAACTTAACCTTAAATATTTACAAAGCCGCCAACAATTTCACCTCACCAACGAACTCACTAATGAAAAAATAAACGTTCTCATAAATTTTCTTCTATATCTTCATCGTCAGTGTTAACTCTATTGTAGTCATACTTGAAGTCATAAAGTTTCTCAAGTTTTGAAATGCATAGTCTTGTTAACTTACCTTCATCATCATAAGTTTTTATAAAACTACCATGACAATCTTTATAAACAGTCAATGTATAGTCAACTGGTCTAGGATGAAGTGTAAAGAACATGTTATACTCAGGAAGGAAGAATAAATGTTTAAATGTATGTTTGTTATATTTTTCGATTTGTATGAGTTGCTTTTGTTCCCACATTTATATAAAAATAAAATAAAAATAAAATAAAAAATAAACTTAAAAATAAATGATATCACCACCCTCACACGTATGAAAACATAGCACAAAAATAAATTTAGGGTAGATGGGTATATCTAACCCGATTTCTAACCTCATTTCTACCCTGTTGAATTCATTGCTTTATAACTCTCTTCCTTTCTCCAACTCTTCTAGCTTCTTCTTAAGTTCAGCAATGTTGTCCTCATGAAGTTTAATCTTTCTCAAAATTCCTTCTTTATCTAATGGTTGCTTTATCTTTCTAAACTGAACTCTACCATCCTTCATAGTATGAATGTAAAAACCTTCTGGAATAGTTCCTGATTTAATGTATTCTACCAAAAACTTTTGTTTCCTTGCTTCAGTGACTTTATTTGTCATTTCAATCAAATAAAAATTTTAATATTAAATAAAAATAACGTTATTTTTTCAGTAAGGAAACGCAGGAGTTTTACGATTTATTTGAGGAGTAGGTTCTGGTTTAAATGTTGGAGTCGGTTTAGGAGTTGACTTTTGAACAGGAGTTTGTACTTCCATAGGTTCAGGAGTCATTGAAGGTTTTGCTTGTGAAGGCGTTTTGGCGAAGGTGTTGGAGTTTGTTTAACTTCAGCTACTTCAGTATTATTTACAACATTTGCTTTATTTCTTTTCAACATCATAACTGCTCCTGCTGTAGCTAGCAAACCTAGTGGGAGACCATATCTTATATAAGGACTTGACCAAATGCTATTTTTGACAGGAGCTGGTGGAACACCTAACCTTGGTGAGACTGCTCTTTGCCATTGTGCAGCTCGTAAGAAATATTCAATAGGTGCTCCATAATCGTTTGGTAAAGTTTGTTTCATAGATGGTGAAGGTTCACGAGAGCTTGATGAAGAACTCATTTATAAGCTTTAAAAATAAACGTTCATCCTTTATTCCTCACCGTCGTCCGTAGCTAAGTTATAGTCATCTAATCTTATTATTGGGATTCCATTAGCACGCACCTGAATGGCAAAGCAACAATCCCTCATAAATCCAATAAGTGGCTTTGGTACATTTTCAGTTGCTAGTTCAATAGGTCCTTTAACAGACAATTTGTATGTTATTGGAGCAGTAGATGTTTGACCTTGCTGGAAGCAAAAGTCCACTTCTGTTGGAAAACCACATAAGAAATGTGTGTTGTCATAGCTATCCCATTTATGTTCCACACTACCATCATCCACCAATGACCTCATAACATCTTCATTAAATCCTATCATATCATTGTTTGTATTGCAAGCGTTCGCAACCATTTCATAAAATACAGGTCCATATGATTTTTCAGGTTCTGCAGGCATATTTCCATAAGCTCCCATGGAAAGCTGAAGATATTTAAACTTAGGGTTCTCAAAATTAACATAATAGTTGTCTTTCTTTCTAAATAGTGCCCAAATACTTTTAACATTAATAGGCGTATAAGCTGCTGTAAATGTTGCACTTGAACTATCTGTATTCTTTGAGAATGAACCGTCCATAGGAATCCAATCCATAACTTTAACAGGAAAACATAAAGCCTCGTTTGTATAATGTTCTACAAGTTCTGTATAAATGTTAGGGTCTAAAGAGAATGACTTTGGATGAATGAAACATTCATTAAAATCCATCTTTGTTCGAAATAGTTGCTGGGTTACAGTTGTAATAGTAACTGTTCCACTAGCTTCTACTGCCTTCGTTATCATAGTGAATGGTTCATTCCATGGAACAAATTTATTTGTCGGGGATTTGAATCTGAAGCAAATGCAACTTTAAGAGTTGGATTGAAAGCAATGATATCATTTACAGATATAGATGTGCATTGTAAGGCGTCGCTACTGAACTTTACTTTAAGCTGAATGTTTCCTGCAAAAGCTGGAATAAATCGAATAGCTTCTAATGGAAGGAATCTTCTAACAGGAATTCTTAAACGAAGCTTAAAATCAAATGATTTTCCTGCTGTAATTGGACCACTAACAATTTGTCCTGTTCTGCATGTTCCCGAATGACTCCATACATCTTCATGTCGAGTCTTGAGAAAACATCTACTTTCTTTATTTGTTCGGTAGTTTGTGAGTTTGAAGTTATATATGCTTCTTCTCTTGCGTTGTCTTGAGAATATACGATACGACCATTTGCAAGGATTTGATATCCAGCAACTGCATAGAAAGCGTCATCGAAACCAATCCAAAATCCTGGTGGGTTTGTTTTATTGGAACCTGAACCAATTTCTTTATCTACAATAAATTGACCTTCCATTTTATACGTAATGAATGTATTGTAAAGGTCCAACATATTTTCACCAGGAGGTGAGAGATTGAATGTTACCCATGTGTTATCTTTAGCAGTTCCAGGTTGTGATGGAATCTTTGCGTCAGAATATTTTCTATTAGTGTCACCAATTTGAACTGCATTGTCTATGATATCGAAATATGAGCGAATCTGATGAATATGCTCTGCTGGAGTAAATTCGTTTAGCTGTTCGTTCTGCATGTATTTACTTCAGATAAAAATATCTATTTACTTCATTATTCTCACTCTTCTTCTTGGCATTCGTGGTGGAAGTTGTTTCTTGACATTTTCAATGAACTGTACATTCTCTTTTGTCTCAACTTCTTTCACTGGTGGGTCAGGGTTCTTTGACTCGGTTTGTTTTTCAATGAAATTCACGAACTTTGCAATAAGCTCTTGGTTCGTTATTGAAAGTACATCTGGCTTCTTTTCTTCTTGTTCTATTGACTTTTCAGTTTGAATAGAAGGCTTAACATGGGCTTCGCCCTCGGTGCCATGCACCTTAATGTTGTCGCTTTCTGCATTCGCTAATGGAACCTTTCTTTTTCTTACGTATATTTTACCATCTTTACTCTGACTTACGTAATAGAAAGGATGTTGTATTCCTCTTGCGTCATTTAATATAATAGACTCTCGCTCTGATTTTGACAAGCTCATTTTACATCGGTTAAAGTTTTAATTTTGTTTTTTATCTGCAGTCAAATGACTCAGACAAGTCATATGGACAAGACCCAAGGGGTCATAGATGTTGAAGCATTGAAGAAAGAAATTCGTGAGCAAATTTTATCCGAACTGAAGGAACAAAAACAAGAACAAAAGCCAGAGAGACCAAAGAGAAAACTTAGTGAAAAACAACTTGCTGCATTAGCTGCTGGAAGACAAAAGAACCCAAGACTACTGGCGAAAAAAGCTAGAGAAGAAGCTGAAGCAAAAGCTAAAGAAGCTGAAGCAAAGAAAGAGTAAATGGTTTATTTTTATCCGAATTAAATGTATAGACAAATACCTTTATCTGTTGCGTTCAGTAGTGAAAACCCTGACGTCAAAATAAAGGGGAACAGAGTAACGTTTAAGTTTCCAACAGACTGGATTGTGAACATAAATGAAGAGAAGTACATTGGCATAACAAATATGTATATAACACGTGCTTTCAGAAAGGTTGACTTTATACTTCAAGTCGAGATAGAAAATGACGAACAGTCTTTAAGCGCCCAAAACATTCACATATACAAATACTTTAAAAACAGTACGACGTTAGAAGACTGTATAATTACATTTTACGAAAATTTTCAAAAGAAGTTTAACATTGAAGTACAAACTTTACAGCCTTTACGTGAGTTTCTTGCACAACTGAAAGAAGAAGGAATTGTAGAAAGATTAATAGCTTTTCATTACGAGTTTGTACCAAATGAAGATGGAACACATGACTGTCAATTCATTGTATTCTCACCATTCAATGAAGTAGCTAAAAAGAAAGAAAATCCATTACGTATAAGATTTCAAATCTCTGAACCAAGTGATGATTTCAAAAATGTTTTCAATTATGATGCAATGCTTCCGAGGAAAAATGATTTTTCCGAAATTAGATTTCCAGGTATTTGGGATAGAAAACAAGCAATATTATATTCAAACCTAAGTAAAGGAGTTGAAAATGAGTTCATTGGTCATACAAGAACTTCACCACTTCCTAACCCTAAATACTATAAATTAACTGGCTTCAATCGTGAGTTTTGGATAGACATGTTCTCCACTCATGACCATAACTGCCCAGTGTTCTTACCTCCAGACCATAAGGACTGTCTCTATATTGAAGCACAACTCTTAAACTCTACCATCGCAGTATTGTAAATGACCACATGGGCTTCGCCCTTGCCGCTAGCGGCTTATTTTTATCATGAATGGTCTCACTGCTGACAAAAATAAATGACCTCAGAACTTCAACTTACGAATAAAGCTTGTTTTAGTCGTTATTGAGAAGTTAAACTTTTCAGCAAAGCAAGGAATAGAAGACTTACATAAGTCGAATGCAATCTCTTGACCGTCATAAAGTGCTTTATATAACTTCATAACACTGAACTCAGAGTCTTTGTCAAATTTTCCTTGCGGAACCATTAAACCTTTATCTTCATCATAGAAACACTGAACAGAGTCAGGAAACATTTCATTAGCGGTTAAAGCAATAACATCTTGCTTCACGCCTTTCATTCTGCAGTGAAATGCAACTTCATTTAAATCATTCGTGAGTAAGTCTATGTAAGTCTTCTTTCCACAAAATATTGACTTGTATGCTAAACTTTGTTTATCTTTTGTGATTTCTGCAAAGTCGCTATGAAATTGACCAAGGTTTTTACCAATGAGAACTCTTCCATAACGTTTCTCAAACTCTTCAGCTAAACGAGGGATATCTTCATTGTAGAGATGCATACTGTCCGTATCGCTATAAAAGATGTCCATTCCTAAGTCCTCAGCAGTACAGAATACTTCACACATTATTCTCTTCGACATAGACAGAATATTAACACCAAGTGGACAGAAGTTAAAGTATCTGCAAATGCTTTTCGTTAGCTTGAAAATAGTTTTATCTGAACCATCCAAACCTTCGAACTTCACTATATGGTTGTAGTTTCTGATGGCATATCTTATAGCATCTTTGTCATTTACTATGGTTATTTTTGACTCAATAGGAGATAGAATAGTTTTGCCATATAATAGCTGTTCAGAATGAGCTTTATATTTTCTTGCAAAGGATTTCCTTCTTTCTTATACTTTAACCTTAACTCAAAACTTCTTTACTTCATCTCTTATTCTAATATCTCTGTTTCCATCGTAATAGTATCCTTGCAACACTTCACATTTGACACCTTGATATTTTATGAGGTCTTGTAATGTTATATGGTCAACATACATTAAACAGCAAGTGTTTTGAACTTCTGGGAACGTTAAGTTCTGGATTTAGTTCAGGGTCACAAACTATTAAAGGAAAGTGTCTATGTATTCCAATCTCTGTTATCTTAATGAGAACAAAGAAGCCAGACATAAACTTTTCAACAATGGGTTCCTTTTGGTCGTCATTGAATAAATCTCATGAGATACTCTGTGCTTCATTCATTTCTTTCTTCATAACCTTTGGAATACCTTCTAAAGTATAAAGTCTTGCTATAGCTGATGGATATAATGAAACAGCGTCGAAATCAGCAATGAGTTTCTTTTTCGCTCTTTTGTTTCATGTTATCTGACAACATACATCTTCCACCTTGAATACAGCGTGAAATAAATTCTCTTGGTTTATTTGAGAGGTCATATAAATTTCCATTCGGGAAGTACACTCTGTTCTCAAACAATTTGTTAGCAATAGAACAAATACTAACGTAGTCATAAACGTTTAAATCAAATTCTTTTAATATGTCATTGCGGAACTTAACAAAACCTTCTCTTAAAATTCTTACATCTTGTTTGCAATAAAATGTGCTATACTTTTCTAAGTCGAAGTGGTTTTCATCTATTCTGCAACCTTTGATGGAATCTATGTTTTTCATGAATGTATCCGCATCCAGGATAAACTTACACGCTTCAGAAATGACACCAGTTCTGTTGTCATTTGCTAATAAAGAGCTTGAATAATATTGATACGGAAATACTTCCTTTTCACCACACTGCAAATGAAACATAGCAGGAAATAGTTTAAGCTTCTTATTTATAACACTGTAAGAGTCTTTTATAATAATTGCCCTTCCTTTATATAAGCTAGTTATTTGCATTGTTCGTGAACCTTTAATGATGGGAGTTCCTTTCACTTCTGTCATGTGTGTTAAGATGAAGTTTATATCATAACTGAGGTTATGGAAATATATTAAACTCTTGTCAGGAAGTCGCTCCAAAAATTCTGTTGCACAGTTCTGACCCCAAATGCTTTCACTCACTGAACCATCTTCAACTGTCATAACAGATGTTAAAAGCTTTATGAAAGCCATCGGTACTGCACTCAAAGTCAGCAAAGAAAACGTGCTCAGGAATGAACTTACATTTAGCTTTATTTACTTCTTTTGACTCGGCTTTCTTCTTCAGTTGTACACAATACTTTGGAGCATATGTCAAATCTTTAAATAGTGCAAGGTTCTGTTTATATAAGTCGGTCGTATATGTGAAAAGTTCTCCATAAGAAATAGGTTCGAAATATTTGCACTCCCACAATGTTTTCATAACATCCCATAACGGTGTTGTTCTATCATAACGAACTACATATTTGTTCTCTCTCTTTGTATAAATCTTCATCTGTTTCTCAATGTTCATTCCACCACACTCCTTCAAGATTTCTATATAGTTGCGAATGAAATATGTTGTTATTGGTAATCTTTCATTTAGCATGTAGTGGTCTTCAACAAGAAGTAAGTCAATAGTTCGAATAGTTTTACATTCTTTTGGTATGTATCTCTTTATTTCATTATGTCTTGAGTCATTGAAGTAACCAATGGTAACATTAAATGCTATACCTGTTGCATCATAAATTTCTTGTACTTTACTTTGAGGAAAGTCTCTAACACGAATGACTTCTCTCATGTGGTCAATAGTTTCTTCATTTACTCCAGCCTGAATGCAAGCATAAACGAAGCAGTTATCTTCTGTCATAAGTGTTGCAGTTCTTTTGTTCAGTTCATTGAAGATTTGGTAGCGTTCAAGATTTATAGGTAATGTGCAAAGATACTTCCAGAACTGACCGCTTCTCTTCTTATAAAACTTCTTTTCACCATTATCTTTCCAAAAGCTTTCTATAAGTGCTGGGTTTCCTGTTTTGCTTAAGAGCTTCCAAAATGGCTTTCTGGTCATTTGTCAGTGTGCTTTCATCTCTATATGGTCTCTTTTTTGGTTTGCCTTTCTTTACATCTGACATCGTTAAGCCTTCATATTCTGTTAAATCATACATCTTTATTTCAGTAAGATTCTTTATGTTTGTCAAGAAGAAGTCATAGTGCATTTCAACAATACCTGCAGCATTTGCTTCTATCTCTGATATAAAGTTCTCCTTCAAGAGCTGATGTAGTAATGTTCCAATATTATTGAGGTTTAACGTAGAACATTCATACTTTCCACCAAGTTTATAACATACCATCCATCTCTGTTGGGAGTTTATTTTAATCTTCTCTAAGAGTCTCATGAAAACCTTACCGAAATGTTTGTGTAAGTAGTCTCTGTTTGGTTCATCTAAAGCTTCGATGTTAAATTCAATGAGTCTATTGCCTGTCTTAACATTCCTCTTCCTATTCTCTTCATCTTTCTTTAACCATCTCTCACCTTCTTTTGGTTTGTCGTCAATGGAACGAAGGACATCGTTAGCTTTGCGAACTTGTTCTATAGCGCTCTTAAACATCTCTCTTCTCTGTTGTTTCAGTGTGTCGTCTCTTCTTCTTGTTTCACCAACGTTTGCATTTGTTATGTCAAACATTTCTCTTCTTACTTCATGAGGTACTGAACGTCTATGATATAAGTCAATAGCAACGTCATTTAAAGGAAATGCTCTTGCATGGACTTCGTCCTCGCCGCGTTGCGGCTTTATGAACTCATGAATTCTATCATAACTTATTGCACCATTATAGTCATTGAGGATGTCAGCGAGTGCTTTTTTGTTTGTTGCGTAATGCTTTGCAACATCTATATTAGCTTCTGTAAGAAGTTGTTTTATTTCCGAGTGTTCTAACTTAGACAACTTCCGATACATCTTTAGTAGGAAATAAAAAAATATTTTTTGAAAAAATTAGATTAGATTTTTTTAAGTTATTTTTCAAAATAATTTAATATTTTTATTTTAATGAAACACATGCAAGATTGCAAGTTCTTTTCATACAATGCTCTCGCTACTGCCATCAAGAATGAGTTCAATGGCGCTGCAAACGTTAATGTTATCTTTAACAAGAAGTTTGTGAAAGAATCTAAGTTTGGTCAGTATGTCAGACCATTAGCTATCGTCATTGACCGCAAACGTTATACTTCACAAGAGTTAGCAGTAGTTTTGAAACAAAAGAGTTTCTTCGTGAATGTCAAAGATACTCATTATACTGTCATAAAGAACTCTAACGTTGACTTCTTCAGTATTGCTATGAATCTTTCCGAACAGAAAGAATATAAGAAGGGTGAAACTTCTGTGAAATATTATCCTTCATCTCTGAAGACAATAACGAACAAAGATGTTATACAGAAATTCTTACCAAAGGTTGAAGAAGCTTCTATTGACATTGACGAAGGAAGTGAAATGGTTGAAGAAATAGACCCTGAAGCTTTATAAGAAAATTTATTTTTGGTTAGTCTTCATATGGATATTTTACAACAATTCCCCAACGTATAGACTTTTCATACGCTTTTTCATAAGCTTTATATACCTTCAGAAATTTTGCATAATCTTTAGAAGCATTTAGATATTGTTTAAATGCTTTGTATGTCTTCAGAAATTTTGCATAATCTTTTACATGTTGTTCGTTCTCTTCTTCTGTCATGAGTTTCCGAATATTCTAAATTCATGTTCTTTCATATGAGATAAAATTTTATAAAAAAAATAAAATTAGCTTAGATTTTTTTATTCTTCCTCTTTGAAGTTATCGAAATATTCTGTTATTTTTTCCTTCAGTAATGTTAAGTCTTCTTTGAATGTAAGTATTGTGCAACCTTTGATGTCATAGTGTGTTTGAGGAAGAGTATTTTTGACAATTTCCTTTATTTGCTCATTCGGTGTCATTGAAATCGGTAAGTTTTCACGATAGAACCAGTTTCTGTCAGATTTATATATTTTAGCTAAGTCATAAAAGCTCTTTGTTGTTTCTTCTGACTAAATGCAACATAACCATATCTTTATCTTCTTCTTTCTCCAACTCTTCAGTATATATCATATACTTATAACTCTTTTCCTTTCCTTTTGGTACTGAACGCGGTATTCTTTTCTGAATGCTTTTGTCTTTGGATTCAATGACTTCATCTTTTGCTTGAAGTTTCTTTTCCATCTCTCCACGTTCTGCTTTATATAGTTCATCTAAACATCATGAAAATATAACAAGCATAACGAGGTGAAGCCCACATTGCTACAGCATTTACTAAAAGTCTATGAACATAATAACCTTTCAAACCAGGAGCCAAATTCTTGCGATTTTCGTACGGAATCTCTTCTCTCGGTTTTCCGAGGGAAGCAATCATATGAGGAAATTCTTCTAAAAGTTCTTTTTCTGTTGGTTTTCAAACCAATGATATGCTTGCTTTGTAGAACGAAGAGCATTCATTATACTTTGCATTTGGTACATGTCATCTTTGACCGAACGAATGAGGCGAAGTTGTTTGTTATATTGTATGTATTCGTATTCTTCATTTATGGCTTCATGAACGATAGCAGTTGTTGTGTTCTCTAATGTTGACATTTCTGTTCTTACATACAAAATAAAAAAATAAATAAAAATAAAACTAACTTTATTTTTCTGTGTTAAAGAAATGTTAAAAATTCATGGTTACATATGTGAAAAGAAGTCACGAACAAATGAAGGTCATAAGATTTAGCACATAATTCTGAATTGAATGGTGTGTCATACATGTCAAACCGTCAAGAATTGAAGGAGAGACGAGGCTATAAAGATTTTGGATATTTTCTGACACACACCCTGAGGGAAAAGTGACAAAACACGACAATAGAAAAGTGACAAAATGAGAGAAAGTTGTTCCCCGACCAAAATGCAATCATATTGAAAAAGTGACATTTGTAAAGTTAGACGATAGGATTTCCTGAAAAAGTGCAAGACTTGTCTTGAATCAGGACAAGATTTGTCTTGAAAAAAATACAAGACTTGTTCTGAAAAAATACAAGACTTGTCTTGAATCAGGACAAAACTTTACAAAATTTAAACTTTACATAACCGTTTCTATCGTACATGATATTTAGTTGACATTGTAAACTATCTTCATGTAAAGTATGGCGGTTTGAAACCATCGGGAACCTTCACTTTTTTGACGAACTTTCCGCAGCAATTTTTAAAATTTGTGAAAACTCAACGGTTTGACACATGCCATATGTCATTTTACTCAGAATTTTGTGCTGAATTCAGCAAAAATAATTTTTAGGGTAGATGGGTATATCGAACCTAATTTCTAACTCGATTTCTACCCCAGTTATTTTATAAACGTTTTACATGGTAAACGTTATTTTTGGAATTTTGTGAAAACTCAACGGTTTGACACATGCCATATGCCATTTTACTCAGAATCTCACGAATTCAATAAAAATATATTTTAGGGTAGATGGTTAGATCTAACCCGATATCTAACCTCATTTCTACCCCAGTTATTTTATAAACGTTTCACATGGTAAACGTTATTTTTTAAATTTTGTGAAAACTCAACGGTTTGACACATGCCCTAAAAATTATTTTACTCAGAATTTTGTGCTGAATTCAGCAAAAATAATTTTTAGGGTAGATGGTTAGATCTAACCCGATTTCTAACCCGATTTCTACCCTCATTATTTATAACCGTTTTACATGGTAAACGTTATGAATTCGTGAGATTCTAAACAGTTTTGTAGCTTCTATTTCTTCGCTGAGGATATCAAAAATTTTAACAATGCCGAAAGTTTCTTTATACTTCTTCTTGACGTCAGATAGAAGGAAATCGTCAGCAGTTGGATAGTTTTTGTTCAGAAATGCTAACATGTCCATTTTATTTTCTACCGGCTTCTCTGCTTCTTTCTTTAAGTCTGCATAGTCGTTTCTCATACGTTCTATCTCTTTGACGGAGTAGTTATATTTCCTCATTGCTGCTTTACATTTAGAACATTGCGGATTCATTTTTGCGTTATACATTGAAATAAAACCAGCTAGAACAACTAAGGCGTCAATGGTTTTCTTTAACTCAAAAGCAGTTGGTTTTATCTGTTCATTCCATACCTTACCTCTTCTATCTTTATCTCTTATCTGCCATACACATTTTGCAACTAATGAAACAAAGTTGTCGTATGTCTTAAACTCCCCAGATTTATATATGTCAGAGATGTTCTTATATACCATGTCGCAATCTTTGTCCATAACTTTATGGTTGCAATGATATCCTAGAAACTCATAATTTACCTTTCGTATGAACTTCTTTATTTCTACTGAGTCGGTTGGTTTCACTTCTATTTCATCGAATTCATGAATAGTGAGTTTTTGTTGTTGGATTTCAGGCAATTTGGGTAAATGGTCAATAATGTCCTGCATGTCATAAAGATATTCTTCATTTTCTTCATCCTGTGCGATACAGTCTAAATTACTTGTTAAAAGTTCCTGCTTTATTCTTTGTATTTCTGTTTCGAAAGTAAATGAAGAAGGAATGAAGTTTTTCATTTCTACTAACATAGATGTTGGATTCATGACTAACGAGTTTGGTGCTGTTGTTTGAATTATTGTTGTGCCGATTGTTGAAATCATATCTTTTATACAAAATAAAAAAATAAATAAAAATAAAACTAACTTTATTTTTTCTGTCTTAAGGAAATTCATGAAAATTCATGAGGGTAGAAATGAGGGTAGAAATGAGGTTAGATATACCCATCTACCCTAAAAATTATTTTTGTTCATGGGCTATGCCCCGCCGCTTTGTGTCTTTATGTTAAAATAAATGGTACCATTAATGATATCATGACTGTTCTCGTTCATGTCTGATTTACATCTAATGAAAAAGTTTAGAAGAATTTTCTTATTCTTTCTGGCATATTTTTGTCTTTCCAGTACTCCCGCTCTAATGGTCCCAGATGTGTTGGCTTCGACTCTCTCAAGTTCTTAGATGGTATAACATCTTCAACGCCTCCTTCATATCTTACTTTATAAGTGTCATTGTTTGTGTTATAGCCAAGTATTTCAATAACCACTCCTCGCTTTGCTTCGTCAACCATTACTACTTTCGACTAATTTATGACGAGGATAAAACGCAATAGAGTCGTCGGCAGCTTTTATAAGATATCCATTACCTTGCGTAGAGTCTACGATATAATAATTTCGACTTAACCTTAAATGTTTCTTTGTCAACGGTTTGTCGTCAAGAACTACACGAACTTTTGTACCAGGAATGAGGGTAAATTGTGTTGAATTTCTGATATTTTGTGTTTGGCTTCGTTTCTTTTGTATATACTTTTCTTCTTGTTGTTGTGTCATTGAATTTGGTATATGTCCTGTTGTAGAATGTGTTGAGGAATTATATACTTCGAGAAAATGTTTCATTGTTTCTTCGGTAAAGTCTCGCTCTTGGTTTAAATCTCTGAGAGTCCTTATGAAGCGGTTTATGATGCCGAGTATGTTATGGTTATGGTCTTCAGTAGTGTAGTGAGTTATGTTATGCTTAATGAGAAAATCTGTGATTTCATTGCTGAGGTATGCACTGTCTTGGTCTGATGTTAAAGTACTTGGGCTATGTTCTGCTACAAACTTTTGTAAAACTCTTAACACTTCACGAGTTCCTTTATTCCTCATTGGATATGCATATGCTTTGCGAGTGTTAACATTAATGAAGATGAGGAATGGTGGCTTTCTTCCTTTCTTACTCTGAACGAGAGTGTTAAATTGGTATGCGTCAGGAGTGCTGGAGTAAATTGGTAAAAAGTAGTCGTAAGGGTTTATTTTTGTTTGATGTACAACATTTTTGTCAAAGAACCTTTTCACTTCAGCTCTGTTAGTAAATCCCCAACTCTTTGCAGCTTCATTGAACTTCTTAAATGAC